GCTTCGTACGAACCGCCACATAGTGACGCGACTATAGCCGCCCTCGTACGTGGCACGAGCTCGGTTTGAAAAAGTGTGTCCCAACCGGACCTATTTTTCGCACAAGCCTTCACTAGAACTGGTTCGGTGAACACTCCTCACAGGCTTAAGCGTTCACATCATCGCGTAGTTAATACTGAGACCAAGACCTGGTCAATGACGCAATGGATACGACAAAACTAATAGCCCCAGACGACAGCCCCGCAGCCTGCTAACAGGTCAGCACGACAGAATGAAGCACAAATGTACAGACCGTAAAAAGATCGTAAGTAATTATCCTACCAATATTTCCATGACGACCCTTTAGACTATAAGCTATAACAAAACTATTAATTTCATCAGCTATAACCTACCACGCGCATTTTTTATACGTGCAGGTTGCCTCGCATTCAGCGATATTATCCCCTACTTGGGTCGGCAGCATTTTGACAGCCTTGCTAGTGAACCCCAGTTAGCTAGAACTTCCCCATAATGCAGCGACATTTCGCTAAGCAGTCTCCTGCGACTGGGACACAAATACAGGCGATCGGCGCCCGCCCGCCGCTTCTGACCGAAAACAGGCAGCGCGGCCGGCCCCCGCCACCCACCGGTAGTGGACGTCCGACTTCTGCACGTTCTTGTCGCCCTGGATCCAGCACTTGACGTACACGTCCGACATGTTGCTGCCTGAGACGACCGAGTACTCCTGCATCACCACGTCCATCACGTTGTAGAGCGCCACCCGCAGCACGTACCTGGCGACGTCATGCGGGGTCAGTGACCCGGCGGGACACGGGGTCAGTGACCCGGTGGGGCGCGGGGTCAGTGACCCGCGGGTCGCGCAGTCAGCGACCCGGAATGACGCGAGGTCAGTGGCCCGGCAGGACATGGGGTCAGTGACCCGGCAGGACTTGGGGTCAATGACCCGGCTGGAGGCGGGATAAGTGACCCGGCAGGGCGCGGAAAAGTGACCCGGCAGGACATGGTGTCAGTGACCGGCTGGACGCGGTGTCAGTGACCCGGCAGGACGTGGGGGTCAGTGACCCGGCAGGGCGCGGGCACGCATCGACACAGCGGCTGGTCCGCCGCACAGAGATGACCGGCAGTAAACGGCCCCGCAAACCACGACAACTGTTTGGTACAGCTGCGTTCTCGCGATCCGACAATGATCAGGTACTGCGCGCAATGCACTATGTCAGCACCGCAATAAGGGTACATTGCAGTGCACGAGGGCTTGTTCTGACTCAGCACGCTTTAATAAAATTCACGTTCTAGTATGTTCTCAACACATTAGCAGCCACATTCTCACGTTCTTAGCACGTGCTCACGTTCTCAGAACGTCCTCCACGTCCTTAGCACGTTCTCGCGTTAATGTTTAGCACGCCCTTAGTATTCCCACACTCTCTATACGTTCTCAACTTCACGATTAACGCGTCCTCAGAGCCAGAAGCCCTCCACGCCAACCAAGCAGAACTGAGCTTGCAAGACCGCACAGAGCGGAGCCTGTCCAGTGACGCAGGCTTCAGAGCCACTGCGGGAAGCGGGACAGCTCTCCTTTCAGGGAGAGGCTTACGAGCGCCGACAGAGCGGCGCAGAATGAGTCTAATTAAAACGTGATGTATGGCCGACTCTATAACGACCACCTACCGCCCGGCGCTCCCGCCAGCTGATGAAAATGCGTGGAAAATGGCGTGGGCGGCAGGACTGAGATGGGACGGCGATTTATGTCGAGGGTGATTACTGCAGGCGAACGCGTACGCAGCGGGAATCTTCCACGGGTAAAGGGGATCAGGGATAAGGGGGATAAGGGGATAAGGGACACCGGTCTCACGGACAAGCAGCAGGACATTGGTGGTGAACGTGATCATCTATAAAAGGTAGATACCCACGCATATGCCATCACTATGTGTCAGAATGTGTCATCACCATATCTGCGCGGACAGCCGAGCCAGGCTAGTCAGAAAGCCAGACAAGATTCAAGGTCACGCCCTCTAACGAGCCTCCAGCAGTTTAGACAGGTGTTCCGGACGTGACCCGCACAGAAGCAGCAACAGCGCAGCGCCGGTCTTCCCGGTGCCGCAGGGCTCGAGCCAGTGCTTACTTGCTGGGTTCGCGGGGCGTGATGTCGAACGAGGACCTGGCGGACCCGCCAACTTCGGGAAGATGTCCACCAGCATCTCCAGCTGGAACCACGGCGCGAGTCAGCACCGACTCGTCAAGCGGACGCCGGTGCGGCCGCTGCCGCGCTGAGATAAGCCATCGGGCGGCATGGCCAAGCGGGGCACCGACTCCACCACAGGGTCCAGTGACGACCAAAGGCAACGGGTGTAATACGGCCAACGCCACTTGGACGGCTTGGTCAGTATGCAACGGCTTCATTTGCACAGTATCACGTTACGACTTCAACGCTCTCTCCACAGCGCCGGCACCTGACGAAACAAAGCACCAGTCGCTGAAACTGCATGTTCTATCGCAGCCAAAAGGGGGTCAGCCGAAATCTCCGGCGAGTTCCAGTCAAAATCCGTATCTCTCCAGTCCCAGTTCGTATCTCTCCCCTGTCCCGGCCAGTACCTCCCCAGCCCCCTCGTCCTGGCTCGCACCTCCCCTCCCACCGGCTCACCCCACCCCCCGGCCCCACCCGCGTCTGCCCACCTTCCCCTGCTCCAGGTCGGGCATGGCGGGTTGACAGACGGCGCGTCTCCACGTGCTCGGGCACCAGCTCGAACGTGTGCAGCACCAGCAGCGCCAGCCTCTCGTCGTCCGGGCCCAGCGTCGGCGGCCGCTCCGTCGACCGGTCTGCCGCGCGCCGCACACGTCAAGAACATTGGAAAAACACGGCACACATCAAGAACACTAGAAGGTCAGAAGAACATTAGAAGGTCAAGAACATTAAAAGGTCAGACAACATCAAGACACGGCACAGTGAATGCAAGTATGAATGAATGAAAATGAAATGATATTGACAAAGAAACCAAAGGTGAATCGATAGTGATAATGATGTGTGATAGTGAATAAAGATAATCAGTAATAATCATAATGTTTACAACTTAAAATTGATGTGAACATCAATAAATGTGGCAGTGGGCCGCGCAGGCGGCCTGCTACGGGCCGAGGACATGGTCAGGAAGGCTTGGAGCGCCCGGCCGTAGGAGGAAGGCCAGCTCCGGGAACGGCCAACCAACCCCGTGTGACGAACCACCCTTAACGCTTCGGTCTCTGGATGCGCAAATCCTGACCTTGGTCCGTTCTCACTGACCAACCAAAATCTCCACGCGCCCTGACGATAGCGACAACCCCACCAAGCCAGGGCGATCCCGCCCCCGACAGCTTGTTTCCACACTCCAAAACCATGAAAATATTGTTCCTCGACTGACCTTCCAGCTGACCTTATTGATCTTTCACTGACCTTCCAGCTCGCCTGAGCCGGTAGTGTTTGTTGCCGATGACCACCTCCGTCTTGGAGAGCCAGCAGAGCGGCTGCGAGCGGTTGTTGGTCTCGCAGACGTTTTCCAGAATCTCGCGCGGTGTCTGGGCGTCACGCCCACTGGTTCGGGCCCGACCTGCGGGGTCAGGTCAGGTCACGTGGGGTCAGGGTCATCACCGCTATGGGGCTTGCCTTGACAGGAGAAGACGGACACACGGGTGGAAAATACGGGTACGGGTACTACTCCCAGGTGCAGCCCACAGATCATATTTCATAGCCAGATTACCTCACAGGACTAGTAACAACCTGCGTTATTTCAAGTGCCAATGAAACAATATCCCTGTACTTTTAACTGGGAACAAGTTCTCTGCTCTATTTATATCACTGACGACATCATCTTGATGCCGAGAATGCGCACACGCTAAATAACAACATCGACATGGATGCCACCTCAGCAGAATTCACAAAAAGACATCACACAGAGAAGACATCGCACTTGCCAAGAACACCCCAAACGGGGAATCACAACGGCGGGAAATGAAGTCCTCCAGCCATCAGCCCAGGTCGGGCGAGCCGGACCTCTGTCTGTACACCGGGTACCTCCGTACTCACAGGTGGTACTCGCGCGGTATGCCGCACGTGGCGCGGGTACTTGGTCATGTAGCGGTTCTCCAGGTCGACCTTGGTCTCGCCGATCAGGTCGTCCTTCGAGACCAGGTCGTAGTCCATGACGGACACGGTGAGGTCCTTCTCCTTGGGCAGCATGCAGGTGAACTCCATGAAGCTGAAGGGGCGGGCGGCAGGCGCGGGTCAGGTCCCGACGGGGCGGCGAGGGTGTTAGCCAACGGTGTCAGCCAACGGTGTCAGCCAACGGTGCCAGCCGGCAAGGGATGACGTCAGACAACACAGGAGCGGCCAACCACGGTCAACGGTGTCGCACAAGGCAAGACCGTAGCCAACCAAAGTCAATGGTGTCAACTGGCACAGGATGATGTCAGGCAACACAGCCCACAGCCAAAAAGTGTCAACAGTGTCAGCCAGTACAGGACGCAGTCCAATGACAAAGCCTACATCAAACGAATGCCAATGGTGTCAACCCACACGGTCAGTGTCCACCCAGTCAACAGTCAACCAAGGCCATAGTGTCAGTCAACACAGGACGGTGTCAGACAATACCGGGCAGTGTCAGACAACACGGGGCGACGTCGGCCCACAGATCTCGCGTATTCACCCCCGGGGGCCTCGTCCGCGAGCTCCGATGACAACAGTGGGCAAGCTGGGCCGACACCGACAGGTAACAGCGTTCGCAGCACGCAAATCAGTAAGCACCAATCCGATCGGCGGACGAGGGCGACGAGCTGCGCGGTGACCATGACGCCGGCCCCGAAATAAATCGCATCGCGGTTATGAGACCCGGTGACTCTCGCACCTGCCGAAGATGGGGTTGAGCGTGTTGGGCCGGTACTGGTCCCTGGTGTCCTGCTTCTGCTTTCCCAGCTGCACGCGCAGGTACGGGTCCGACATTCCGTTGGAATCCTGCGGCGACAGGTCCCCAGCATCTGCCGCCAGGGGCGCCACCGTCGGATGAGATGAGACACGCGGAACGCACGCACGCGCGCCGCGCAATGCGATCAGCGTGCGGCAAACCGCGACGCCTCAACAAGCACATGACACGAAGCTGACGCCAACACGGGTCAGCGCGAGGGTCAACCGCCAAACACCAGCCAAAGAAAGGAAACTACAAAAAGGGGCAGAGGGAAAACACGAGAAATATATTCACCCGAGAAGCTTACATGCATCCCATCGAACCGCGCCAACACAAACACAGCGGGTGGCGAGGTTCGAACCCACAACCTTTCTGCTGCGGGCCTGAAGCTCTACGGCACCTGATGAAGTATACGCGGACGATGACCTCCTCAGATGCTGACGGCGGGATGCCACGGATCTGTCGGGGAGGCAGCGGCAGGCCTCGGATCGTCCGGCAGCGTGTACACCTGCCGAGTCAAAGGTCAGGTCAGATGTCACGTCACAGGGCAGTGTTCTTCTGCGGGAATGGTCAGAGGTAAGTTCAGAGCGAAGCGTAGACCTGCGGATGGGGCAGGGGTCGGTGCACATGTCAGAGGGTCAGTGTATAGGTCAGAGGTCAGCATACATCCGTGTATAGGTCAGGTCAGTACACACTTGCAGAGGTCTGAGATAAGCGCACAGGTCAGGGCTCAAGGCAACACCTGCGGAAAGGGCAAATCTCAGTGCACAGGTACAAGGTCAGTGTATAGATCAGATAACAGTGTACAGGTCAGGGGTCAGAGGTCAGCGTAAACCTGCCGACAGGTCAAGGGGTCACAACTGCACAAGTGGGAAGAGGTCAGGGGCCACAACACAATCATGATAGTCATATCACAACGCAAACACACAATGCATCAGTAGTACAGTTGCCCCCGTCGACCCCCCCCCCCCCCGCGTAGCCCCACTGACCCTCCCGCGTGACCCCACTGACGCTTCCGCGTGACCCCACTGACCCTCCCGCATGACCCCACTGGCGCTTCCGCGCGACCCCACTGGCGCTTCCGCGCGACCCCCACTGACCCGCATGGTGCCCTTGAACTCGCCGACGGTGGCCGACTCCTCGTCTTCACACGACTTGCCGCGGTGGATGTCCAGCGTGTTCAGGATGTCCTTGAAGTGGTCGAAGCACGCCACCCCGCTCCAGCTCCACCGGGTAGATCTCCAGCTTCTCGTACCTGCCGCAGAAGACGGTGAACACCTAGCGGGCTCCAGCGGGCAGATGTTCAACTTCTCAACTCGTAGAGAAGACGGATCGGAACACGGAGACTGCACCGCGTACACCTCGCTGTGGCATGATTCTGCAGGAACAGTCGCACACACCGACGGTGCTGGGCAGCTCCTCTGCGCTGAAGAACTCCACATTTCACCTAAATGTCCGCGTGCATGCGGGATCACAGGCTGAAGGTCCCCGATCGAACCGGCATCGTCATTTCCACAGCGTCACGTCAGCCATCCTCACGGGGGGCTTTCCGTCGCCGCGCGCCGCACACCACCGGAGCGTAGCCTCCGCGCGGACCAAGAGTGTAGCCTCTCCCCGGCCCACCGACTGGGGTGTCGGGCTGGAGAGAAGCTACCGGTGGGTCGGCTCACCCTCGCTTGAGGTAGTCACCGCACTTCCTGAGCTCGCCGGCCGACGCGTAGTACTTGCTCCACCAGTCCAGGTTCTTGTCGCGGTCCTCCGCCTTGACACCCGCCCGCCGGTTAGAGGCCGCGTGACACACGCACGGCAAACAGCTTAGGAACTTCGAAAATATTGTGAACCTTCTATGGTTTGGGCGTTATTCACGGTTGTGAATAAGAAACGAGACCTAAATTTAAAAAAAAAAATGATTGGAGGAAGTCGGAGTTCAAATTAAAGAAAAGTGAATATCTTACAGTCCTGTGGCCACGTGCAAAAACGCACTTTTGTTAAGTTTTTGTTACAATGCGTCTGCTGCTTTCCAGCACACTTCGGCGATCTCCTAGCGTCGAAGTGATGTTTGTAACTGAGAAACATCAAGGCGTTAAAACACTGTTCGGCAGGGACGCGGCCAGGCGGCGTCTTCGGCTCGCCACTGGAGCCCGGCCGCGCATAGGCCGGGCGTCCCCTGCCGCCGTCGCCTGGACGCGCCCCTGCCGCACCCACCTTCTCTCGCCACTCGTCGCCGGGGCGTCGCCGCGTCTCGGAGGGTGACCTCTGACCCGCCCTCTGACCCCGGGTCAGAGGCGTGCTCCGGCCGCGGCAGTCGCCCATCGGACTACGTCAGCAGCGGCGGCGGGCGTGCGGTTTAGTGCAAGCGGCAACTGCCGGCTCGACCCCAGCGCCGCCGTGCGGCCGGCGGCGGAAACAGCGCCGCTGTTCAGAAACTGACCCGCGGTGACTGACAAGCCACGGCAAGAGGCTACTTTTCAGACATTTGACATACTGGATCTTTTCCTTTTTTGATCGCGACTTATTCACGCGCCGGGAAACGTGGTGCTTTGTTATGGTAGACCACAGTGAATCGTAGGATTTTAATCACAAATAAATAGAATAAATGACAGCGTCAAATTTGTCACGCTAGAGCAGACCGGCGGCAACATTGGTGTCGCTCATAAAGGCTCCAGGCAGAACCCGCTCAGCGACCCGCGAAAGCTAACCTGCTGACAACGTTCGTCAGTTTCTGAACAGCACCGATGTTGACCACCGCGACCTGATACGGGCGGCCAGCGTCGGGGGCCGAGCGGGGGGGGGGGCGAGCAGAGGGAGAGGGGGCAGTCATGGCGCGTGCAGCGCGGGGCAGCTGGCACAGCGGCCTCGTGCAGGATGTTCAAGCTCGGCCGCATACAGCTGATGTTAGTGGTTAGAAAGCAGCGCTACGTGTGCGTAACACGCACGCACGATGCTCGTGTCAATGTAGGCACAACTCCTGCTGTAACCCAGCGCCCTGGAGCCCGGTATGTGTTGCCCGTGCAGCTAGGCTGTATCTTGCGCACGAGCCGCTGCGGCCCGAGGGACGGCCCTGCCCTGGGGAAGGGACGGTCCCTGCCCCGCAAGGGTGGGACCCGTCCCTGCTGCCCTGCGCGGCACGTCTGAGGCCTGCACGTCTGAGCTCTGCTGATCTGAGAACTGCTGGTCTGAGAGCTACTGGTCTGAGCATGTCCGACGGGTAACAGGCGTTATGACATCCTGCATCTCAACATTCCCAGCACGCGTGTTCTCAAGCCTGGCCATACACATCCTGGACATCGCACATCTCCCGTCATGCAGCCGAAGAGCGGAAGAAGAAACACACCGAAGCTCCCTTTGCGGCGCGCGGCACCGCTGAAAGTCCAGCCCGTGTGCGCAACGAGACGGCAACCGGAAACGGCGCCTGTGGCAGCCCAAGTGAGGGCGCTGTCCACACCGATCCATGCAGACCAGTCACAAGGTCTACGTGTAAGCCTGCGCCAGTGCTGTATCCCAGCGGCAGCGTTCAAAACTCCCCACAACTGTCACAGCTGACATAGTAAGCAGTAGTGGCCATTGTTTCCCGATCGGAGCCGTGACGTCACCGCCTGCAGGTGAGTCGTGTGACGTCACCGTCTGCAGGTGACGTCATAGTTCGGTTTGATACCCGGCGACGACAATCAGCACATCAACCAAGCCCCGCCTGTCTCGCACGCCAGCGGTCGGCAGTGTCCCAGCGCGGGCCACCGGGTCGCCGACACCCGACGTTCTCCCGGCAACAGCACAGCCAGCGCTCTCACCACGGCGCCGCCGCGTTCAGAAACGCGCGCCACATCCTCGCAGAACGACACCTCAGCGGCGACACTCCAGCGTCTACGCGCTCAGCAAGCTCCGAACAGCCAGACACGGGACTGGACGATCGCAAGGCGCACCGGATCGTGCCCAGCTGGCGCTTGCACCGCGGCGTGCGAGCGCCAGCTGGGCACGACCCGTCTCCACCATCACCTTCGTTGCACGCGGCCCGACTGTGCAGCTGCTCTCGGCGGTAAGGCTAGCCCCCCGCCGGTGACGAGGCGGGACAGGAGACGCGCCCCCGGAATCAACAGCTCGTGCTCGCGGAGCTTACGGTCCCGACGGACCAGGGAGCCCTGCACTGGCGGAACACAAGGCGGCCACACCGCAGTCTCAGCATCGCCAACGGAGCAGCACCGTCCAGTATCCCAGCTGCATACAGGTATCCTTGACAAAGCAGGCACATGCCCCCTGCCGCGACCATGTCCCCTATCCAGTGCAGCGCATCCCTGGCTTACACGAACACAGCATCGAAAAGCGTTCTTCAAGCGGCATGTTAAGTCCCGGTAGCAATCGCAGCGCTCCAAATCTAAACCGCTGTCCGCGCTTTGTGACGACGGAAGACGTTTCCACGTGCGAAGCGGACATACACACCCTGTAATCGGAACGCGTGGAAGAACGAAGCACGTACAGACGAGCCGACGTTGACAACAGCGGCCCGACCGCCGTCAGACGTAAGCGCATGACTGATGCATGTCACGTGACGGGCGCGTGTCGCAGGCGTAAGCGGTCAGAGCACGGCGAGCGACGGACGATAGCCGAGTAGCGATGCGTGAGTTGGTGTCCCGAAGGTGGCGGGTTCGAGGGTCTCACCACCGGGTCGTTGTTTTTCGGTTCGGTTGTTACTGCATTCGGCGCGAGAGACCGCAAACTCTCGCGACTAAAGGTAATATATGCTGCTTACGTCTTGCGACAGACAAAAGGTGACTGAATGCCAGTGCAGAGACCAGAAGTTTAAAAGACCAGCCCGAAAATCTATATTTTGTAGCTAAAAAGCATAACCATAAACAATGGGACATATGTGTATATCTAAGCATACATTAGGTTTCAAAAAAAGCATAAGTTTACTTATATGATCACCTACATGCTTTGGCAATCAATTACCTTAAACTTTAACATAACAGCGGAGTACACGGACCACGCGGCCTTTTTCCCCACTGAGTTCCAGCACAGAAAGAGTTCCAACCACAGACACATGTCCTCTAAAGAGGCTGTGATCTGTCTCTCTCGGCTGTCTGCTGGGCTCCACACAGGGAAGACGTGCGAATCATGTGGTTACAGCGATCAGACAACGGTACACCGTTGCCCGATGCGGCGGGTATGTAGTGTCCCAAGCGTGTTCGACGTTCGAGAGCTGGCATACGAACAAAGGCAAGCGACTTGCCAGCCGCGTGAGCAGCACGACAAAAAGCGCGGCCCCCATAGACAACTGTTGCTTCAACCCACAGTGTGTGTCCCTCGCGACATCCAGACATCACGCGCAGCAGGACGCCAGAAACGGCCAGCGGTAGTAGCCACACATAAACAGAGACAGATGCACTCCCAGAACTATGCGCCGGTTACGAGTGTCCCCGCGGCAGTAGCCGTACATAACACAGCTGACCGAGCGACATATGAGCATGTGTTTGTTCTACATTCCGTGTCCCCGCCAGTAGCTGCACATACACACGGGTCGAGCCCGGCGCTGGCACTCGCGCTCGACCGTTCACCTCATCCGGGTCGACCGGGTCGTCGTCGACCAGCGCCTCCGTGCTGCTGAGACGCCCGGCCCGTCCATGCCGCCACGGAAGGCGTGCGACAGCCGACGGTACGTGCGCCAGCCCTACGCCAACTCGGCTCGTGAGTGACAGGGCGCGGGTTCAAGACCCGGTGGGGGTTGAGTTCGGCGGCGCAGTCTGCCGTCTGGTCTAGAGCCACAGTGATGTTGCGGACGAAGTCGAACACTCGCCGCACAGCGTTAAGACACCTTCACAACCGCAGAACAGGCAGAAGAACTCCTGGTCACATACCACTTCAGTAGCCACTTGCATGGAGGCAGCATGCCTCCACGAGGCATGCCTCCATGCCTCCAACATGCCGCACACGCATGGAGGCATGCAACTCAAACACATCCAGCAACAACAGGACATTTTTCAACGAAAATAACACGTTACTAGAGTCTGGCGCCGCGTCCACCAAAGCGCCAAGTCCAGCGCAACGTCAGAGACAGTCTGCTCGCGCAACACAACGGGCACGGCACCAGACAGCACAGGCCACAGGGGCATCACAAACATATCTCGGTCAACGCACGCCTCGGGCAGATGGTTCTCGGCGAAAATTCAATTCAAGTCAGTTCACGACGCACGCAATTCGTCATGGACAAGCCCTCTGCCAGAAATATCGCTCGAAAAAGGTGCGGCCTTCATTGGAGCTTCTGGAGGACGTTTACAAGCCCGCCTGGCGCGATGCGCATCCCAGCTGAGGGCGCCGACGTCCGAACCAAGCTCCCATCCGCCGACTGCCGCCGAAATACGAACGAGCGAAAAAAAAGAATACGAAAAAAACATCGAATTGGAACCAAAACCAAGCCAGCCCCAGCCCTCGTGTAGCCAAGACACGCGCGTGTCTTGTGGAGGGAAGCATTCACGCCACCATGCCTTGGCTTGGTAGCTACGATCGCCACCACCCTGTCTCTCTACTGCGACTACGCCGCTATTCACAAAGCGTGGCGAAAGCTCCGTGCCTGTCGGCCACGGCCGAAGCCTCAGTTTCGACGCCCACCGACAGATGTCGGTAGTGGATGCAGCCCGCGTCACCGAGCCACCCCCCACCCTCGTTTGGAGTCATGCAGGTCTCCGCAATGCCACCAGAACCAAAGCATCGTCAGAACCACCTCAACAAAGAGAGCGACAGGCAGGAGTCCGAAACAGGGAGTCTGGAACAGGAGTCCGGGGAGACACCTGCCGGAGAGTAGCGGAACCGGCGGCTCCGGGGCATTACCTCCGGGTCGTGCTGCTCCAGCGCGTGCACGAACTCGGTGCGCTCCTGCACGGCCAGGCTGGGCTCGCGCACGGCGGCCTTCTTCAGCACCTGCGCGTGCTCGAAGCCCTCCCTGCCGCTAAAGTTGCCATGGATCGAGACGGCCGTCATGGGCGCCTCCTCGGCGGCGCCAAGCGTCATCGCGCGCGCCATCGGTGACCGGCGCGGCGGCGCCGCCGGCGCGCCGGCCACCGCGATCTGCGACTTCCAGGTCCGACAGCTGCTGGTACTCGAAGTTGTTGGAGCGGCCGAAGCGGCCTCGCCGGCCGGCGCTAGCCGGCGCCGCCAGCGCGGGCGCCGCGTCCACGGCAACCAGCTGGGGTACAATCGACCGTCAGGGTGCGCGGCGGAACACGGGCTATCGCGACGCGAACGGGGCCATGTTCCGGCCGCCTATCCAGGCATGTAGCGGGAAAAGAACCGTGAGCGTAGGGATACAACTATGAACACCGGAAAATATCGGTATGATCCTGCCCATAGCCAGCCACGAGTGCTGCGTCGAGGTGTGTGGGGGCGGCGGAGAGGAAAAGGGTCGATAATGGTCACAGTCGGCCACAGCCACAGTCGGCCCGCCACAGTCAGCCACAGCCGGGCCACAGTCGGCCCGTTACGGGGTGGGACTTCTGTGGCCACCCGTTACGAACCATGCAGGCTCGGCATCACAACTTAGATGACGCTGAACCGCCGGCCGAAGCGGCCCCCACCATCGGCAGCAGCTGTGGCCAGTTCCAGACCCGCCAGACTCGTCCTGATCTGCACTGAGAGCGCCCTCGCCACACTTACCTCGCGGCGGGCCCGATATCTGCACGGGCTCTTTCAAAAGGAGACGGAGGAGAGCGGCCGACAAGGATCACAACACTCGACACACTGACCAGTCTGGAGAGACAAGGATCGCAGCAACGAACGCTCCCTCCAGTCAGGAAACAGGCTCGCAGCAATGAGCACTCTCCAGCAGGGAGAGTGCAGGCCGGGCGTTACTGGGCAGTTACGGGCAGGAGAAGACGCACAGAAGTGTGACCCGCGGCTTCAGCACGCCGAGCGGCGATCGAAGCCGCCCCGGTGCCGGACGCGCGCTCCAGAACAGTACGAACACTGACGCGACTGTGTGAGAGCGAGCTTCCGCCAGACCACCTGCATGCCACGCCTACTGTTGACGCAGTCTCAACCGGCACATTCAGGTTCATACCTACCCAGTATGCCACGGTACCACGGTCCGTCAGCGGGGCGTTTACAGCAAAACGGCGCACATCTGAGGCGGAGCTCACGCGGGCCAAAACACAGCGCTGGCTGGCAGCACGCTAGCGACAGCAAGCAGCGAGCACGCAGTGCCAGCGCGCTAGCCTGGGCGGCTGGAGTGACCGCACGCACACGCACACACGCGGGGTATCACACAAGCACTAACACAGGCGGTGAACAGCACGCATTTCCCGCCTGCAAACTAACACGGACGGGAGAGAAACAACGGGAAACAGCGGAATTAGTCACAGCAGACGGCGGCGGTTGATTCACCGGGCGTCTTTAGGCCGAGTCGAACGTTGGGAGGCGGGCGTCGGGAGGCGGTCTTTGGGAGGCGGACGTCGGGAGGCGGTCACCGGGAGGCGGTGACGGGGAGGGCGGTCTTCGGGAGGCGGTCTCCATGAGGCGGTCACCGGGAGGCGGCGTTGGGAGGCGGGCGTTGGGAGGCGGACGTCGGGAGGCGGTCTTCGGGAGGCGGTCTCCATGAGGCGGTCACCGGGAGGCGGGGCGTTGGGAGGCGGGCGTTAGGAGGCGGGGCGTTGGGAGGCGGTCCTCAGGCGGGCAGCGGGCCACACATCCTGCACGGACACAGTAACCTGCTCGTCGCCGCCGCCGCCGGCCGGGCTGCCCTCCGGGATGGCTGGATCTATGTCGATGACGGTCGACTGCCTCGTCATCGTCGACTGCCGGTGCACGGTCGACTGGCGGCGGACTGGCTTCGACCTGCGGCCACCGGCGACCGGGTCACATCGGCCGACGGCGACCGGGTCACATCAGCCGACAGCAGCCGGTCACATCGACCAGGTCACATCGGCTGCAGGCGACTGGGTCACATCGGCCACCGGCGACCGGGTCACATCGGCCGCCAGAGACCAAGTCACATCGGCCGCCGGCGACCAGGTCACATCGGCCGCCAGCAGCCGGGTTCACATCGACCAGGTCACATCGGCTGCAGGCGACCGGGTCACATCGGCCACCAGCGACCGGGTCACATCGACCGGGACACATCGGCCGCCGGCGACCGGGTCACATCGACCAGGTCACATCGGCCGCCGGCGACCGGGTCACATCGACCAGGTCACATCGGCCGCCGGCGACCGGGTCACATCGACCAGGTCACATCGACCGCCAGCGACCGGGTCACATCGGCCGCCAGCAGCCGGGTCACATCGACCAGGTCAACATCGCCGCCGTCGACCGGGTCACATCGACCAGGTCACATCGGCAGCCGGGTCACATCGGCCGCCGGCCGCCACAGCGCTTCCTGCCTTTCAAAATACGTTCAGTAGGGTGTGCAGGATGCGGACATACATTATGCTGCCAGAATTCTGGCTCTCCAGAGGCCTACGGACGCAATTTGCTACCTTTTGACCCACGAAACCTGACATCTGACCTGCGTCCGTCAAGCCCGAGGCGCTTGGATGCTGGGTCGACCGCCAGCCGGATCGGTGCTGATTGGTCGATTGTGAGCCAGGAGAGAGGACGACAGACAGGGAACCCCAAACCGGGGGTAAAAATGGCACAAAAATCCGAAATTCCTGCGGACCCAAGTGGCAGAACATTGACATACTGCACACCACGTACCGGCGACTGCGGCTAAACCCGGCGCTCGCGTCCGGAGCGGCATAACCGACGCACGGAGCCCTCCCGGCGTCCCCGGTACTCATCAGCACATCCGTGGCCATGTCTCACGCTAGGATTCACATTCCAAGTCGATGCCCACGCCCTGCGCCAGTCCTCATGCTCCCCAACAGAGCTCGCCAGTCCGCAAAACAGCTGACAGCTTACGGCAGCACTTACGACCTGCACACCGGCCCTTGGCACTCGGCATCGATACTTACATTTCATACCAGCACCCACACTTGGTAATCGCCCTCATCCCACACCTCACGCCGCGCGCCAACTCCCATCCCTCACACCCCGCGCCGGCCGCTCGCGGCGCTCATCGGGGTAGGGTGGAGGGAGGCGACCACTCACTTGACGTTCATCAGCGGCTCGCCTGCTTCCACTACCCACACTCCGCGCCAGCCACCCGCGGCATTCACCGGGAGGGGGTGGAGGGAGGCGGCCACTCACTTGACGTCATCAGCGGCTCGCCTGCTTCCATTACCCACACTCCGCGCCAGCCACCCGCGCCATTCACCGGAGGGGGTTGAGGGAGGCGGCCACTCACTTGACGTTCATCAGCGGCTCGATGCTGTACTCGTGCAGGGAGCGGATCACGTGCGTGCCCACCACGGGCCGCGAGCCGAAGCTGCGGTGGTCCCGCACCTTGATGTTCAGCGGCGGCATGTACAGCGGCTCCTTCGGCAGCATCTTACGGCAGCGGGCAGCCGCATCAGCGGCACGAGCAGACGACTTCACAGGTTTGAGACGAACCTCGTTCGGTCGGGCGCGCTTTCCGTTATCACAAATCAGAGCATCGCTCAGCGTACCTACCGAAAAAATACTCGTACAAGCACGACGAAATACCTCGTCATAAATACCTACGCAATAAGCACGTAAGTATTTTAATACCACGTATACAGATACCACGTAAAAGCACGTAGGTATAATTATGACATACATTCGGTCCCGGACATCCCGTCACCAGTTCAGTTTTCGCGGTCCATCCATCGTCGCAACCCGCGAGCCTCCACCACAAGCGCGGCCGACCGACTGCGTGCGAAAATCTGATCTCCCCCCCCCCCCCCTTTGGGCGGCAGGCCCCACTCACGATCTCCATGAAGAGGAACGGGTCGGCGAAGTTGGGATGCTGCTTGACGTCGCCCATGACCTCTGACGTCACCACCTTGCCGGCGCACTCGAACTCGATGGCCGGGTTGCGCACGGAGCGCAGCTCGAACGACCTCATGTTGCGCACGCCCCCAGCACAGGATCTGCGGGCGGCACAGCGTCGGCTGGTGAGAAGTCCCCGGCGGGTCGGGCAGGGCAGAAGGGTCAGTTTGCCGCGGCGGCACAGGGGCCGATGGACCACCCCGACCGTGTCGCCGGAGGACGCGAATTGTTCTGCGCCGCACATGCCGAAGCAAGGTCTGGTGGCAACAGTCAGAAGCCAGCGCAGTTGGAAAAACATCTTAAAAGCCTGCTGCATATCACCACATGACCTGGAAAACGTGAGAAAGGTACGGGGAAGTGATTACCACCAGGACGTTCTCCACTGGCTGGTGCAGCAGTCGAGAGGCGGGGGGGGAGCGCTTGTTACTGTGTAAGGTGTCCACCAGGGACGCTCTCCACCGGTTACCAGAGCGGTAGAATGAGAGGCAGGGGAGGGGCTGTTCATATATGGAATAATTTACACACCCCTTGCTTCTCACGGAAGGTTTCCATGCCGGCGAACGAACGCAACGCTACTATCGCACAAGCTCTGGGTTTCTCACCGTCAGAAAGCGTATCTGAGAACGAGAAATTCACATGCAATACCCTCTCAGTCTGCATCTCCCAACGAGAAAGGACAGCTGGTGTCGGGCAATCCTAATTCACGCGATCACGCTATATACAGCAGACCACATGACGCATTCGGATGCATTAAAATAGGGGAGTACATGTCAACAGGCAAAGGGCACAAAACAGATAGAGACATAGAGTAAGACAGAGGCATGAAGAGGCGTAGATGCCAAGATCATTTACACTGTTTCCCTCGTAACGACGCCACTACAACCGAAAACTCCGCGACCAAAACATCTAGGCCTGCCTTCCTCTCCCCTCCGCCCCACAAACCACAAACCACAAACCACAAACCACAAACCATTAACCCTCCCCATCCCCGGCACGGCCCTACGTGACTTGGGTCGGGACGGGGCAGAGCGAAAGAAAGCCAGCGAGCAGCGAGCGACCAGGCGGACGGACAGGCGGACAGGCGGACAGGCGGGCGGGCGCGGCCCTCCTCCCACCTCCACGGCGGGTACGCTGCAGCACGGGCCGTATGCCGCTGGGCAAGTAGTACAGCGTGCCACCCTTCTTCGTCGGCCGGCAGGAACGGCAGCTCCGACACCTTGCAGTAGAGCTCGAACGAGGCCAGCAGCTCGCCTGCGACAACCGGCCGGCCGGTCACGCGCGGGTCACCGGGTCACGCGCAGGTCAGGTCGGGTCACGAGGACGGCAGACGTGAGGACGAGACACACCCGCTGTGGGGCGGGGCTCTTCTGGACCTGGGGCGGCCACAGGGGCACACGGCAGCCTGACACGAGAACAGAAGCATGGGGGTGATCTACGTCTCAGAGGCGGCCTTACCAGCTCGCCTACAGCAACGATAGGCGACGACATGCAATCTGGGTTTGAAATCAATGACATGCGAGGGGGGACTACGTGGCCACCTGGGGCAGGGGCAGCTTTCAACCACCACCGCCTGCGTCGCGGATAAGGGCTTAATCGGAACCCTAGGGCACTAGGGGCAGCTACATTGCCGTACGACCTCAACGGCCCCAGGTGCACGTGTATATATATATATATATATATATATATATATATATACTTATGAATTGCTATATTGATCATTATGTCAATACCAAAATTATACATTATATTATCTAATATAATCATTACTGTTTGCGTATCTGTAAATTGTTCATTAAGACCGCCAACTCTCGAGAAAAAAACTGCCGCTTAACATAATAGAGGCACGACACACCGTAACCCAGAAAGCAAACACAGACAGTGCGCAGTTGAGAAGCCTGCGGACGGCACGTGACAATAACGAATCAGAGCAAAGCGCTTTCCATCCGCGGGAACCCGCGGACAACTTACTGGACTGAGAGACCGAGAGGACCCACACCCGCCGTGGAGATTGCGGCGAAAGGAATGACAATGAACCCACCGCCGTGGACGATATCACGTAGGAAATTATAATTACGTATTAAATTAAATTATAACATGAGATAACTTATACGTATTAAATCAAATACATATATATATATATATATATATATATATATATATATATATATATATATATATATATATATATAAATCAATCACGTAGGATATTACGTAAGAAAGCATACCCCATCTTACAGGGGATCAACAGTGATATCACATGGCGCTCGTGACAAGCTCGTTGGCAACGATTCACGGGCAGATAGCAGACAACGATAATTCCGCGTGTTAGGGAATCACAAGACAGATTACGGAGACTCTTTAACCTACGCAGTCAATTAATGACACACGGCAAGCGCGCGGTTTGGGGTCACACACACTTCGCTGAGCACGAATCTCTACGGTCGTTTATTTCAAACAGTAGGCGTCTTGTTGGAGAATGATTGACAGAGCTGAACTGGAGGCGACGGTTACAAACGTGCTGCACGCCATCGTTTCGCATGTGTCGCCACCAGACCAGATAACACGTCATCTTTGAAGCGCATCATTTCGGCGTTACTTTCCACCAAAATTGTGGGCACGGAACGCCCCAAACCGATCCAAGGCACCGACGACTCAAGCCGCAACGATGATAGAAAACAACGAAGGCTAGCCGAGGTAAGTTTCACACGAAAACAGGGGAAGCAGGTCCGCAGCCGGCCATGCGAAGGTATGAAGAAAACACGTCACATCCACTCATCTCGACGTAACGAAGCCGACAGAACAAAGGCAACGTCAAAACAAAAGCACAAACCAAAACGACGTCAGACGCCACGAACGGCACCAACCAGAAGCTGCCGCGCCGTCCGGCCGGCCTGTCCGTGACGTCAGCCTGACGTCACACTGACCGTGGTAGGGCCTGTCGGAGAGCTCGCCCCGCTCCGAGGGCTTCAGATACGCCCGCTCTCGTCCCCAGCCGGAGGCTACGCGCACACGATGGCCGGTCACATGCGGGCCGCCCGTCCCCAGCCAGCGCAGCGGCCAGGCCGCCCAGCCAGCGGCGTCGGAACAGCACCCAGACAACGGAGCTGCTCCAGCTGCTCGCTACGAGCCCGTCCCCCGTGCCGACGGGGCGACACCGGCAGAGCCCGCATCGAGGACGGCTTCTGTTGCGTGCTTTGGAACAGCTCACCAACGCTCCCCACAGATAACTGCGTTTGAAATGAGATTATCCTTGAGTTAAAGCGAAGTCAAGCGATGAGATTATCTTTATGAGATTCTGGATTTTATTCGTCATCTGGCGATTTCAACCGCTCAGCAGCGTATGCGGCGAGTGGAAGATTAATTTACTTCCTCGGCTTACACTGTGCTAACGTTGGACAGCACGCGGTGGCCCCACCACCCGTGGCAGGACAGGGCGGCCGAACCACCCAAATCTATTTGGTCCGCTTCAGGTGAAAGGTACCGCTTGAAACATCGTTAAAAAACTAGCTGCGACCAAAAATGAAAGCGTAGATCATAACGACCCTGACATCGACAATAACACAATAAAAAATGTATCCGACACAACATAGCAACTACGTGAAGTTGACAACCGATAATACGCCGGTTAATGCCATGCCTGCTGTCATGATCGTGTACAACACGACAAAATGTACCGCGACATTCTCAAGTTTAGTGCAAACGACATAGAGGCGCAAGTTCCCGTGCAATGCGCGAATACCGCGACAAAATGCAACGCGTCATGCAGCTACAAATGCGCATGGGAAGATGGTTCCAGCGTCCTCCATCGTGTTAAGAAGCACCACCCGTGCCTCAAACACCGGACCTGCAGGTGAGATGAAGTCAGGTCAGATCAGGTCAGGTCAGGTCAGGCTCGGCGCGCCGTCGGCCGGTACTGACCTGCGCTGTCGTTGTCGCCCTTGCTGAACTTGAACCACTGCAGCGGCGGTGGGTGGGCCTTGCTCGGGTCCAGGTGGACGGTGGGCGTGGCTACGGCCCGGCCCAGGAACTCGGGCTCGCCCTGCGCACCCGGTCAGGGGGCGGGGTCAGGTCACGCCAGGCCAGGGGTGGGGTCAGGTCACGCCGGGTCAGGGGTAGGGTCAGGTCACGCCGGGTCAGGAGCGGGTCAGGCCACGCCAGGTCAGGGGTGGGGTCAGGTCACGCCAGGTCAGGAGGCGGGGTCAGGTCACGTCCGGTCAGGGGCGGGGTCCGGTCACGCCGGGTCAGGGGTGGGGCCAGGTCACGCCGGGGTCAGGAGCGGGTCAGGTCACGCCAGGTCAGGGGTGGGGTCAGGTCACGCCGGGTCAGGAGCGGGTCAGGTCACGCCAGGTCAGGGGTGGGGGTCAGGTCACGCCAGGTCAGGAGGCGGGGTCAGGTCACGTCCGGTCAGGGGCGGGGTCCGGTCACGCCGGGTCAGGGGTGGGGTCAGGTCACGCCGGGTCAGGAGCGGGTCAGGTCACGCCAGGTCAGGGGCGGGGTCAGGTCACGCCGGGTCAGGGGTGGGGTCAGGTCACGCCGGGTCAGGAGCGGGTCAGGTCACGCCAGGTCAGGGGCAGGGTCAGGTCACGTCCGGTCAGGGGCGGGGCCAGGGAGAGGAATACGACCAAATATTCCCTATGCCACCGCACCAGAATAGTAGGGACAGACTAGTAGGTCGGCAAGGTCACACTGGTGAGTGGAGGGGTAAGGTCACACGGAGAGGGGCTGGCCGAGATCCGCTAAACAGCACCACAAATTTCACGGAAACTACGGTGGAGAAAACTGACACCAACTATTACCTCGTGCAGCAAAATCATATACTGCCTATCGAGTACAAACTACCCCAAACTAGGTCGTGCACGTAATTGGCACACTCGAGAGCGAGGGGAAAATTGAGTCACAATGAGGGGATGATAAACCCTCAAGACAACGTCCCCGGGGACAGTCCCGTAAGCGCACACCAGGTCGGGGTTTCAAAGGTAGGCGGCGATAATGAGCGTCTTCCGCTCGTCACCCACCCACCAACCAATCACAACGCCGGGAAGCTGATCATCACGGTAATGGTCATCGGATCAAATCAATGATCATCACGGTTCGGGCCTATGGGCGGCTGTCTCCTTGGCTGCAACCATCCAGGCAGAACTTCTCCTGATTAACGCCAAATTTGGACCCCCCCCCCCCCAAAAAAGGGCATTGCCACAGCCACCTCTTGCTGCTGGCACACTCCCCCTCCTTACGCCCCACGACAAAGTCTCCGCTCGATAACCAGGCCCAACGACGTGTTCTTGTCTGTTTAAAGAGAACGCGACACGAGACGCGACAAGAAGCAGTCATCACGCCCCTTTTACGGGGCGTCGTGCGCCTGCACCGCCCCTATTATCGCTCCGGGGCGCAGCACCACCGGGACCCGAACTCGGCCTCCGTACGTGCGAGCCCAACACACTAACCCCTCTGCCGGCTCCTGGCGGCGCGCTCCACTCACGTAGGTGTCGTGGTCGAACACCTCGATGATGACCTGCGGCGGCTGCTCCAGGATGAACATGGGGTCGCCGTGGATGGTGAGGTCGTCGTACAGCAGCGTCTGGTCCCAGGTGGGGCACAGGGTGGCCCGACCCCGCTCCGTCCGCTGCGAGAAGTTCAGGAAGCTGACGCAGGCGTACGGATCTGCGGGAAGAGCGGCGCCACCGTCGGTCAGGTGCAGTGGAACGGGGGCGATGCGTGACGAGACAAGGCCAGACCGGCCCGACCTAGCGTGCTCTAGTATCGCAAGACCGGGGCTGGTCATATGTTACGGGCGTTTCGCGCGACTTCGACACTGGCATGTCACGTCATTGGAACATCTGACGCAGACGTGCAGGTGGCGGTCACGCTAATGACGTCACAATCAACGTGCATGGTTTATTCTTAACCTTCAGATTTCAGCCACTAACGCATTCCGCGCCGCGTTTCATACACGCATCAGGACGGGCGCACCATTGGGGGGGCCGATTTTACCCTCCGGCGCCAATCTACTTGTCACATTATGTCCCGCTTCATGCCCACAACCGCCAATAAACAGCACACAAAACGACACAGACGCGTCTTGTACGGCCCTGTGTGCAGCCTGTCACCAGCACGCCGCCGGCCACCGAACCCCGCCCGAGCGGCGTTAGCGGGCGGCGGCGCTGCGGCCGAGCAGACCGCCACCTACCGGAGAAGCCCGTCTTGTCTCCGGCCAGCAGGTCGCGCGCCTGGTAGATGTAGGCGCGCAGCTGGTACTGCTGCTCCATAGTGTGCACCAGGTACATCTTGGGACAGCTGAGGTGGACAACTGCCAGCCAGCCCGGTCACAGGTCACACAAAGGTCACGCAGAGGTCATATAGAGGTCATACAGACGCCACACAGGACGACGGCCTAAGAGGGCCGCCGGTGTAATCGGTGTGAGCCGTGGCGTTGGTGAGAATGGTGCATGAACGACGCCGCGTACTTCATTTCGGCAACGTGGCTGTCATGGTTTCAGGACATTAAAAACTGGTGAAAGACATTCCCAGCACATTAATTTCCAACAATGCTGAGCTTGTGTAACCGTGGTTCATCCTACAAATTGTCCAATGATGCACATCTCGTGCAAAGGCACAAGGCCAAGCTGAACATGCATTGCGTTCAAGCTGTGATGTTATCAGCAGCGGTACAAACTCACTCGTTCAAAATGTCGTTAGGTCCACACCCATGCCTTAGTGTTGCAGCAGGAAAAAACTGAGCCCACCGCCATGCAAAGTGAAGACTGATTAACCGGCCACCGCCACCCGTGTTATCCTCACGGCGTGCGCTGGCAGAGCGCTGGGGCGAATCAGTAAACATTCAAGCTATCGGCATAGAGCTGAGTGACTGGGGGCAGCAAGGCATGTGTGCCGGTGGCGGTCAGAACGAGCTGGCGTCAGGTCGATGCCCGAGGTCAGGTCGATAGCGACCCGAGATCAGGCCGATACCGACCCCAGGTCAGGTTCATACCGACCCGAGGTCAGGCCGATACCGACCCGAGGTCAGGTCCATACCGACCCGAGGTCAGGGCCCATGCCGACCAGAGGTCGGGCCGATGCTGACCCGAGGTCAGGCCGATGCCGACCAGAGGTCATGCCGATACCGACCCGAGGTCAGGTCGATACCAACCCGAAGTCAAGCCGGTATCGACCCGAAGTCAGGCCGATACCGACCCGAGGTCAGATCGATACCGACCCGAGGTCAGATCGATACCGACCCGAGGTCAGGTCGATACCAATCCGAAGTCAAGCCAGTACCGACCTGAGGTCAGGCCGATACCGACCCGAGGTCAGATCGATACTGACCCGAGGTCAGGCCAATGTCGAGGTCAGGCCGATACCAACCCGAAGTCAAGCCGGTACCGACCGGAGGCCAGGCCGATACCGACCCGAAGTCAGGTCGATGCCCGAGGCCAGGTTTTAAAATGACCGGAAACCGGGTTCATACTGACCCGAGGACTCGAGCTCACACGAGGCCAGGTCCTTACCAAACCCAGGTCGAGCTCATGACGACTCAGCACCAGAATCATGTCCAACCAAGGTCCGGACAATAATGATAATAAATGAAAAAGTAGAGTTGAACAATGAACCAAACTAAACGAAATAATCCGTGAATAGCCTCAAAATCAAACCAGCCCCTGAGCCCCAGCGACCATTACCACGTAGTGACGTTAAACGTCAGCCACCGACAGCGGGTCCAGAGGCTCTCCTCTCACGTCTCCATGCCGTCACTGCCAGCCTCACGCCGGCCAGATCACCAGATCATGCTGCCGTGCTGGCCGCTTCATGCCGTCCACGCAGGTCAGGTCAGGCCAGGCCAGGTCAGGCCAGACCAGGTCAGGCCAGGCCAGGTGAGGTGAGGTGAGATGAGGTGGGGTGAGCAGCAGCGGTGAGTGTGCAGAGCCGTTCCGTCCCAAAGCCGGCTTCAGGCGCGAAGCGCTACGATACGTCACTTTTGCTACCTTCCGAGTCGGGATCTTTCAGCCTGAAGATGGGCAGCTGGGGCACACTGTGGGTCGACATCACCAGCTTGCGGTGCCAGCGGCGGCGGCGCACCATGTCCATCTGGGGACGGCCGGGTCACGGGGTCATCCAGAGGTCGCCACCGCTGAAGGGACAGGTCACAATGTGACACGACCGCGTGCCGCACAATGCGATGGGATCTTGTGCGACAGATTGGTTGCGGACTACCTTATGTTTGTGACGTACCTAGCGCATCATCAGAACACTTCCGGCTAATAAATGACAACAATATTTGGATCTAACACATTCGTCTCTACGGTCAGCTAGCTTCGCAGTCTCCTAAGCCATTTCTTGCGGGGACGACGAAATAATTACGATGAACGCCAGACTCGAACCCACCACCTATGTATACACGGTCGTGAAGGAGACACCTTCCTTGGGCCTCCTCCCCTCCTACCTCCCCTCGGGCCTCCTGCATCCCTTGGACCCCACCACGCATGCTATTACGCAGAGGTACTTACCACCGTCGAATCTTCTTCACCTCTGTAGCACTCCAGCTTCCCACGCGTAACCTTTTCCGCTTAAAACGCACGTGGTCTGCGTCACGCAGCTTGAAAACATAGTCAGCGGAGCTCACCTTTCGCTCGCGGGGCGTGGAACTTCAGACCGAAGAGCGGCGCGTACTCCCAGCCCTCCTTGTCAGCCTCCGTCTGCTGCAGAGCGGCGGCACAGGCGACGGTCAGGTGGTGCCGGGCAGATGAACACGAGGACAGGAGGAGCACGAGGACAGGAGGAGCGCGGGGACAGAAGCGCGAGGGCAGGAGCTCGCGGACAGGAGAGACGCGAGGACAGGAGGAGCGTAAGGACAGGAGGAGCGCGAGAAGAGAAGCCCGAGGACGGGAGAAGCGCGGGGACAGAAGCTCGCGGATAGGAGACACTCAAGGACAGAACGAGCGCAAGGACAGGAGGAGCGGTGCCGGGGCGTGGGGATGACGCCAGCCGGGCACATGCCTTCAGTCAACGTGATCCACACGGAAAGGCTGGGACATTCGCGCATTCCCGCGGAGAGGATGTGCTTGGAGATCCCATCAGATGGTGGAAGTGAGGACAGAGGCATCCTGCGCCTCATCCACAATAACCAGGGAGCCAATAACACAGTTGACCAGAAACGAACAACAAACAAATGAGGACTAGATGGGAGACGTACAGATTCTACCCACCTTTAGGTACATTCCTCCATCCAGTGTCAGTTCAACACAGATTCAAGAGCCCACAACTAAGGCAATAATAATCGCGTTCGATAGGTTCGGATGAAATCAATACCTAACGCCGGCATATAGGCACACCTTATAGCTTGACATACAAAACTTCACATGACGTTAACACTTACCTGTAAACAGTGCACGCCATGCGGTTAATGGCAATGATGATTTGGGCTTTGGGGCGCGACGAGTGCGCTAGTCACATGGCGTCATCGTAATGCGATTACTAAAGGTCCATTCGACCAGCTCCATTTCAATACAGGTCGGGAAACACCTCAAGACGCTATGCCTTTCTCGTGGCGTATCTTCGCGTTATGCTTATCATAATCATACATGTAGTAGCTGACCTAGCAGGCTGTTGGGTCAATCTGCTGGGTCTGTTGAGGCCAAACCAGCAGAGGTTCATCAGTACAGCCGCCTCACCTGAGCCTTGACCTTCTCCACCATGGTACGGCGGCCGGACCCAGCGGCGGCGGCGGCACAGGTGGTACAGCTGTTCCACGGGCCCGTACCCTCCCAGTGTGGACTCGACGCAGTACTCCAGCCTCCTCGTCCACCGCGCGGTTCAGGTCCACCTGCCGATGGACACCCAGGTGGGATGTCAGTCGTGGTGAAATGACAGCCGAAATGCGGGGTTTTGTCTTCGTTTTTTTTATATTTTACTCAGATCGCTGCTGAAAACGACCGTTCATAAAAAAATGGGTGCCGTCACTTTTCTTACATTGTCGTGTGGCGGTCAAAACCAAGACGATCAGAAAAACGTAACTGACGTAACTTCTTTTAATTTGCAGGCCTCTGTGTGCTTTACAGAAGCGGCATACTTTGTCCATTGTGGCAAGGTGCGGCATGACAAGGACAACAAGGACAAGGATATCTGTTTGCCGGTCACGTACGCTCCCCGTCGGACTGCTGAGACAAATACACACCATCATCGCGAGACAAATCAATATCTGACCGTCCACGCGTCGTTCCACTCCCAGCCGGGCGGCGTCACGATCTGGTCCCGCTGCTGAGACGGGTCTCCGCGCACGTCCGTCCACTGCGTGAGCGCCGGCATCCAGCTGCCAGCTGGCAGCCGGTTCTCGTTCTCGAACACGTCCTCCAGGTACGTGGAGTGGCCGGCGTCGGCCTCGTAGAACAGGCTGCGCAGTAGACGACCATAACATGGCGTAAGAGCCGGCTGGCCGGTTGGCCGCCCAGCGCCGTCGGGGTGTGTTATGTGCGGCTAGTGGCGGGCGGACCGTTGACAGCGTGTGCAGCATCAATCACAGAGCCAGGAGCGGCCATGACGGCGGCGCACGGCGGCAGCCATTCCCGGTATGACGTAATCAATCATCAGACAGCACGCGCGTGATGACGACAAAAACATACAAAAGGATACGGAGAGCAAACACTTGAGATAATAATGTCCAACACACGCGTCTTTTTATTTCTTTTTTGCCACAACCGCAGGCCGTGGTGTGGTGGTCACAAAAAGGTACGGCTGATACCTGAGGCTAATTATTATACCTGAATGTTTCTTATTATGCTTCTTATTATGATAGCGATGTTAAACAGGCTGGCCCAACGGGTGAAAGGGGCATGCATTCTTCCCTACACCACCATTCCCACAACTGACACGCCGTTTGTCTTGGGACAACCGTCCACTCTCATTGCGCGATCTTCTGAAACATCCGTCATTCTCTGAATTGTTGATGGGACTTCAGGAGCACACTCACAAGCAATTAATTTCAAGGAGCATATTCTGTTTCCGTCGCAATGTCCACCAGAGAAAATGAAAAAAAGAAAACGCGTCTGACTGCACAATTTTGTTGACCGGCAACCGATCACGCGCAAAAACAACCATCCATCCAACAATCCTGATGGACTTCATGTCATGACAATATCTCATAACGTACCTCTTAACTGTTATAAATTATTGTTTATGTGTGCAATATCTATGAATTGCGTAGGCCAGGGACGGCCTGGCAGCCACCACCATCAGGGCCGCGGTCCCCATTACCAACAGCTGTCCATAAGTTGCAACATATGACGTCAGAGGCAGGTGCGTCACAACATTTTCCCCAGCTTGGAGGATGGCCGCTTGTGTATGACGTAAGAACTTGCGACGCCACAGGTAGCAACTCAAGAAGGCACTTTGCCAATTCAGAACGCGGCCCTGAAGTCGCAGCCTTGAAGTTTGCTGCTATAGAAGGCGGCGCTCGATAATAGCCTGACCATGCGCCAGGACCACTTCAATGTCACAAGTCCCGTGCATTAATTGCACATAACTGTTTGAATAGCCCACCAGCTACTAAAGAGCAGACTCGTGCTCAGCTTTGATGATGGGTCGGGGTCGACTCCACAGTCCGCCGAAATCGGGCCAAGTCAAAGTGGAGTTGACTCCAACGAAGACCGCGGAATCGGAGTCAGAGGTGACCCTACAACCGCACCTAGTGTCAGCGTGGAGTCGACCCCAATTACGACGTTCATTTTTGGCCAATCGGAGTCCGGACGCGCGGACCTAACACCAACTGCCGGAGGCCGACCGGTCACTGACCTGGGCTCGGGGTCGACGAACCAGTTTCCGTCGAACCGCCAGCCGTCGGGCGGCATGAAGCCGTCACGCGGCAGCAGCATGTCGCCGCCGGCGTCGGACCACTTGGGCCGCGTCATCGTCGGGCCCTTGGTCACCCAGTGGCCGGCGATGCTCGACTGCCGACACCCGGCCGGCGACGTCATCATGACGTCACATCACGCACGTGACTTGTGATGCTACACGGTGCGTGACCCAAGAGGCAGCACGAAACGAAAAGCGGGGACGGGGACGGGGACGAAACGCAGGCGGTGCTCACGGTGAAACATCATGTGACGTCATCACAATAATGGCATCACGTAGCGGATAACCTGAGCGTGATGTACCGTCACGATCGACCAACATATCGTGAGACGCGACCACTACGTCAACCGAAACCACACGCCTCTGGTTCGGCAAAGCCGCCGGAACTTCCATTTGACGTAAGAGCTAACAGCCCAGCACATAATGGAAGGGGCTCACGACCTCTCTCCGATTTTTGCGGCGCATTGCTTAAGTTCGTCCACAGGTATTGCTTCGCCGTCAGTGACGGCCGGAATGTGAGGCGATAATAACGGCCATCTCGCGGCTCAGCCATATATCTTTAGTCCGGCGAATGCGGAAAGTGGCGACTGGACTGCAGTTTTAAAGGTCACGCCAGCTGAAAAGGTCACGCCAGCTGAAAAGTGCGCCGAGTTTAATTTCTGTCTGAATGGGCGAACACCGAAATTAAAAAAGCAACTGAGTCCCCGCAAACGCCGAAAACGGACATATTACACATTTTGGCTTACCCTTACAACGGGGTACGGCTATGCCCTATGCACTGTAATCAATGAGAGCAGCAGTATGCTTGCCACATCTTACCAGACCCATGGCAAGGTCAAAACCTTTCAGAGCTATTACAGCGGACGCCTTGCAAAAGGCGCGGTGTGAGGGACGCCGCAGCCTTCAAAGTATTCAACTGAACTGAGCACATACCTCGGCGGTCCCAATATCTTCCAAATAGCAATTTCAATGCATGCGGTTTCGCCGGTATTTCTGCGATGACTGGCATGGTATGACTGGATGACAAGGTATCCAGCGCGATTGCAATTTCTTATCGTTCGGTCATATGAACCTGGACGATGAGATGCTGAGGATGGTGATGGCGATTTGGACCTCAGGGTGCGCCGGTTACCTTGGTCACACGGCGCCGCGCCCATCTTAACCTGGACATTAAGCTCCGCGTCCTCATAACCGGGACGCAGTACCGCAACAGGTTGCCGTACGTCCTGTGAACACCTCCGCACCTTCCCGTCCCCGCACCAGGTCCTCATGTATTCTGTGTGCGCCACTGTACCTTCTGTCTCCGCACTGGCCCTCATGCGTTCTTTGTAAACTAGTGTTTCTCCCTGTCCCCGTACGGGATCCTCTGTACACTACAGTACGTACACTCTGTGTACACCAATGCATCTCTCCGATCTTCATTCCTAGTCCTGATACGCCTATGTGCATACCGCCGTCCTTCCCCCGTCCCCGCACGTGATCCTCAACCGTCTGTGTCCATCGCCGTCCCCAACCTGCCCCGTACCTGGTCCTCTCGCGCCCGTGTCCATCGCCGTACTCCGCCTGCCCCGTACCTGATCCTTCGTACCCCTGCGTCCCCCGCCGTACCCGCCTGCCCCGTACCTGGTCCTTCGTACCCCTGCGTCCCCCGCCGTCCCCCGCCAGCCCCATACCTGGTTCTCGTACGTCTCGGCGTACACCACCGTCTCGGCGTCACGGTGCCCGGCGATCCAGGCCTTCGACTCCTGCTCCTTGCCCAGCCATAGGCGGACACGCAGCAGCGCCGGGATCTTCTGCTTGTTAGGCCGCGCTCCTGTCGGGCAGGGACGGGACGGAGGCCGGGTCATACAGGGTCACACTGCGCCATGCCGCGCCATACCGCATCATATTGTGCCATACCGCGCCATACCGTGTCATACTGCGCCATACCGCGTCATGACGCGCCATACCACGTCACATTCCGTCATTCCTCGCCATACCGCGCCATACCGTGTCATTCCGCGCCATACCGCGTCATAATGCGTCATACCGCGTCATACCGTGTCATACTACGCCATACCGCGTCATAATGCGTCACACCGCGTCATACCACGCCGACCGCAGCACCGGGGCAGTGACCTGGCGCCTGAGTGACTCTCGGTGCCCTCCAATCTGAGTGGTGCCTGAACGACGGCCCCGCCGCCGTGTCATGACCTCTCCATAAAGAGGGTATGCACACACGCAGCTGTACGATATCTGCGATAGATATGTTATGTACACAGACAGCAGGAGGTACGAGCACGTGTACCATTAAACCTTCCATCCTACCGTTAGATCACGCACTCCAGCACATGCGCTCCTAACCGCTCCTGGATCGAGTTGTCGTAATCCTCCCACCAGGTCATGTATCTACATGTCTCCATAAGTATGCTATTACACCCGGGAGGGGTGCCCTGATTCCTTAGGAGCCCTCGTCTCGTCTGGTAGCTCCTCTAACGGCCTCGTCATGTAGCACCTCACCGATGCTGGTCACCCACCCGCTCAGACATTGCACTGAAAATGAAAGTGCGCTTCCTCCTCGGGGAGCTCTTCCACTCACCTGTGGCCTGATTTCAAATGGAAGTCGGCTCCTTTCTTAGAACCCTGTCCCTATGTCCAGGCGCGTAGCTCCTCTCTGGAGCGCCCTTCTTCCTCCCCCTCACCTGGAGTCTGGCCCGGTATCGGGTGACTACACTCGCAACTCCACTCTACTCCCACTCCCTCTGCCCATCCACTCCACTCCCCTCCCACTTCACACCACTCCCCGCTCCAACCCCTCCACTCCGCTCCACTCCAGTCCCCTCCCACTTCACAGCACTCCCCGCTCCAACCCCTCCACTCTACACTCCCCTCCCACTTCACACCACTCCCGTTCCAACCCCTCCACTCCACTCCACTCCACTCCCACTCCCACTCCCACTCCCACTCCACACTCCCCTGCCCTGCCTCACCTGGGAACTTGAGCTGCACAGTCCGCAGGCGGCCGCAGTCGGCGCCGCTCTGGCGCTCGTCGCCGGCGTACAGGATGGTGTGCGCTGGGATGCGGCAGTACGCCAGACGCTTCTTCCCGCTCAGCATCCAGATTATGATGTCCGGCATCGAGTTCTGCGGCTGCGGGAGGGAAGAGAGTGGCGTGAGCAGCAGGAGAGAGAGACAGAGGCAGAGGCAGAGGCAGAGACAGAGACAGAGACGGAGACGGAGACGGAGACGGAGACGGAGACGGAGACGGAGACGGAGACGGAGACGGAGACGGAGACGGAGACGGAGACGGAGACGGAGACGGAGACGGAGACGGAGACGGAGACGGAGACGGAGACGGAGACGGAGACGGAGACGGAGACGGAGACGGAGACGGAGACGGAGACGGAGACGGAGACGGAGACGGAGACGGAGACGGAGACGGAGACGGAGACGGAGACGGAGACGGAGACGGAGACGGAGACGGAGACGGAGACGGAGACGGAGACGGAGACGGAGACGGAGACGGAGACGGAGACGGAGACGGAGACGGAGACGGAGACGGAGACGGAGACGGAGACGGAGACGGAGACGGAGACGGAGACGGAGACGGAGACGGAGACGGAGACGGAGACGGAGACGGAGACGGAGACGGAGACGGAGACGGAGACGGAGACGGAGACGGAGACGGAGACGGAGACGGTGAGACGGAGACGGAGACGGAGACGGAGGACGGAGACGGGACGGGACGGAGACGGAGACGGAGACGGAGACGGAGACGGAGACGGAGACAGAGACAGAGACAGAGACAGAGACAGAGACAGAGACAGAGACAGAGACAGAGACAGAGACAGAGACAGAGACAGAGACAGAGACAGAGACAGAGACAGAGACAGAGACAGAGAGAGAGAGAGAGAGAGAGAGAGAGAGAGAGAGAGAGAGAGAGAGAGAGAGAGAGAGAGAGAGAGAGAGAGAGAGAGAGAGAGAGAGAGAGAGAGAGGAGAGAGAGAGAGAGAGAGAGAGAGAGAGAGAGAGAGAGAGAGAGAGAGAGAGGAGGAGGAAGAGACAAACTGGCGTGAGCGACAGAAACCAAGAGAGAAACGGTGTGAGCAGCGGAAGGGAGGCGGGAGAGCGGCGTGAGCAGCGAAAAGAGGAGGGCGAGAGCGAGCGGCGTGAGCACTTGGCCAAGTGACATCAGGCCAGATCGGGCGAGGCTGGTCACATCATGGTCAGGTCAGATCCCGTCAGCTCACATAACGCCAGGTCAGACCGGGCGCAGCCGGTCACATCATGGTCAGGTCAGATCCCGTCAGCCCACATCACGCCAGGTCACACCACCCGTGCCGTACCTCCACGGCCAGGTCGCGCAGAGTCGCGCCGTACTCCTCCAGCTGATCGGCCGCCTCCTCCAGGTCGGTGGCCGTTTCCCTCAGCTGCAGCACCCCCTGCGACGGCGGACAGACAGCGGTCAGACGGCGCCACGGCCGCTGGGAAGGCAGGCACAGACAGGACCTGGGGACGGGTCCCAGCCCCGGCACGGTCTCCCCTTCGCCAGAGGTGGGCATTAGGACTATAGGCAAATGTAAGGGAGCAGTGCGGTAAAGAAATGTAAGGGAAATGAACCCCGCGCCTTGCCACTCGCGCCTTTTAAGCGTTAACTACATAATTACGCAAGTTGTTCAGTGCATGTGCGAGAAACATTATTCACATTATAGAACAGTAGTAATAGCCTTATTCCTCGCAGAAAAACCATGGAGATATAGTTGGGTTGATATTTTAGCAACATGCCTTTATCGAAACGACGGCAGAAGTAAATTCTGGTGAGTAACCATTTAGTTGTTATTGATGAATAGATGTGATATTGATGATGATGTTATTGATGTATGTTATTGATGTTTATTGATGTATATTTATGTTTATTGATGTATATTATAGATGTTATTGATGAATAGATGTGTGTACGCGCGTGTGGGTATGCTAGGTGTGTTTTGTACGTTTGCCTTTGACGTATCCCCGTGTAAATGCCCATAATGCTGTCCTCTTCACATGTCTCACCTCCTAACTTTATCGACTCGACACTCGATATAGCGATGTTATGTTGGAGTGCAGTGACGTGTAAAACGTACAAGAGACTTAAAGTCCAGGAAACAAGCACATAAACCAGACGCATATACAAGTGGTACATACGGACCAAAGGATGGAGGGAGGGGGGGGGGAGGATCGGGACCGAAGAGCGTTCCGATCGTCCGGACCGTTTCGTCACCCGCAGAGGCCGGTCATCACGCGCTTCCGTCCAAACCAAATCAACGCCCACGACAGCGGCAGGTTGACTTCGGCACCTCACGCCCACAACCGACCTTGATGATGTTGTCCAGCTTGGCGCGCCTCTGGCCGAACAGCAGGTTGTCCAGCAGGTTGGTGGACTGCACGTGCGGCTCCGGCGTCGGCAGCGGGATCCTGCGGAGGAGGCAGGCCGTCGGCCGGGCAGCCGGGCGACGCCGCAGCAGCACGAGCCCGCGCGCGACACCAAGTAACCGGGTGGCTCAGTCTGAGCACCGGCGCTCGATCCCAACGGTGGACGGTGGACGGTGGACAGTTGGCAGTGGGCGGGCAGTGGACGATGGGTGGACGGACGGTGAAAAAACGGTGGATGGTAGACAGCGGGCGGACGGTAGACAAAGGGTGGAGGGTTGACGGTGGACGGACGGTGGGCGGGCGGTGGACGGTGGGCGGACAGAGGACAATGGGCGAGCGGTGGACGGTGAACAAACGGTGGACGGCGGACGGACAGTGGACGGCGGGCAGTGGACGGTGGGACAGACGAGGGTCAACACAAGACCCACCGTCAATATCGCCGACATCCCACACCCCCCTCAACTCATCACTACACAACTGCATCGCCAAAGACATCCCTGGAGGCGGTACCGCACCCCCGACTGCGTAGCAGCTTGTCATTACGAGGCACGACACGACAGACACGCGCTCTGGTACCGGCAGTTGCGGAGCAGCTGGTCGCAGACGCCGACAAACTCGGCGGCCAGCTCCTCGGCCCCCTTCGCCGCCTGGATGCTGGTCCGGAGTGCCGCCAAACTCCGCTTCAGCGTCTCCACTGTCTGGGGAGCCGGACAGACAGCGGTCACCAATGGACAGCGGTCGCCGCCGGACAGCGGTCACTACCGGACAGCCGTCACTACCGGACAACGGTCACCGCCGGACAGCCGTCACTACCGGACAGCGGTCACCGCCGGACATCGGTCACCAACGGACATCGGTCACCATCCAGCGATGGTCACCACCGGACATCCGACACCACCGGACATCCGACACCACCGGACACCATCTTACGCAGGACGACAGTTTGTGACCGGTGGTTTCCGGTTCCAATCAGCCCCCATCCCCCCCCCCCCCCCCCCACCACCACACGTAGCCAAGCGAGCGCATGACAAACGCCGAAATCTCCGGCTGCGAAGTAGTCTGTGCAATTCACCGGAGATCAGCAACGCGCAGGACATATTTATAGACCGGGAGGCCGTTTTCTGCACCGCGTCGTCCAGCATAACTCTCACTGACAAAGTCGGGCATTCGCTAACCCACTGACAACGCCAGACCTTCGCTAACCCAAGTCCATAGTCAACGGTGACGTGGACAACGACACATCGTGACAGAAACGAATCGGCTCGGAAATCATCGGCGTGATTTGCGTCTGGACCAAGCGGGCGAAGCGAGTATATTTAGACATCAATAACCGGACGGCTTGAAGGCCGGGAGCTGACAACAACGGGCGCGCACTGTCCGTTGCTGAACCCCAAGTTAGCCGGAAACAAAGGTCCCGTGGGTGGTGAGCGCTATCTTCGCCAAGCTGGGTTGTGTGACCACAAGCATCGCTCGTGGCAGCAGGATTTGTGCCCTGCGCGTTCAGGTCACGCCATCGGCCAAGCGCAGCCTACGCCAAGTGATATCAACCGTCAGCAGTGTATGTCACGTGACACCGACCATCAGCAGCCCACGTCACGCGCCACCGACCATCAGCAGCCTACGTCACGCGCCCGCCCACCACCAGCAGCCCACGTCACGTGACACCGACCATCAGCAGCCCACGTCACGTGACACCGACCATCAGCAGCCTACGTCACGCGCCGCCCACCATCAGCAGCCTACGTCACGCGCCGCCCACCATCAGCAGCCTACGTCACGCGCCGCCCACCATCAGCAGCCTACGTCACGCGGCACCCACCATCAGTAGCATGTTGAGCGTGTGCAGACGGTGCGAGATGTCCTCCCATTGGCAGTGGACCGTGACGCAGGGCTTGGCGCCGCTCCACGGCAAAAAGTAGTACCTGAGGGCGAGCGCAGCCCAGTCAGACCGGCGGACGGGGCGCGTCGATGCCAACCTCGGCACGCGCAGCGAGCGGTCGTCCTCTCCGCTCCTCTCCGGCGATGTGTGCAGACGGAGTGCTGCGATGTGTGCAGACGGAGTGCGACGCCGCGCGCAGATTCATCGCCGGCACCCGCGCGCTCGGCACTCACATGCAACCGTCGAACACGGCGTTGGTGGGCTGCGTGAAAGAGGGGCTGGGCATCACCGAGTCCTCAAACTTGTTGCCGTAGTTGCCCATGGACACTTCGAACTCCACCGGCTTGTCTACCTGAAACCGGAGCGGTGGAGACACGTCAGCCGCGCCCGGTGGTCCGGCCAGCAGCTCAGGGTCGGCCAACACAGACGGCTCACGACATGGCATGGTATGCCACTACTACAAAACGGCTCAATGAATGCGTCAGTATGTGCAAATGACGTATGCCGCTGGAATACCGCCCGATGCGTCGTGCAAAACTAACCAGCAAACTATGAACGAAAACCGCTCGGTTTCTACACCCAACAGCTGTCGAGAGCGGCTCTTCAGGTCAGCGGCTGAGGTCACCGACTGAGGTCACCGGCTGAGGTCACCGGCTGAGGTCACCGGCTGCCGGTGACCACTGCAGATGAAGGACTGCGTGGGGAGAGAGAGCACAGAGAGGGGGACGAAGCGGGAGACAGAGCGGAGGAGAGAGCAGCAGGTCGGCGTGCCACGCTTGACACAGCTGGACTTCTCAGCTGGCCCCCACCCACCTCCGACACCATGGTGGCGTCCTCGAAGGCGCAGTGGACCAGGTACTTCCTCCGGCGCAGGAACGACTGCGGCAGGGCAACAGGTGCTGGGTCACGGGGTCAAACAATGGGTCACCGGGCCAAGCAATGGGTCACGGGGTCAAGCGCCGCGGTCGGGGGTCAGGCCCCGGCTGATCGTTGGCGGTTGCGCTAGTGCAAATGGCGGGGGGGGGGGAGATGTGCAGAGGGGGGGGGGGGGGAGATGTGCAGGCAGTGGAAGCGATGACTACCATTCACATTTTGCTATTGATTTCCAATCACTATATTGCGAACACCGCGTTCAGAAAACGAGATTTATTTTGACACTATTCTGTACCAGCAGCCCAGTGGAAACGGTGTCTGACCGCGACCTGCCACGCCCAAATAAATGCACCAGGTTCTGGGATGAATAAAAGTCCTGACAGTTAAAGCGACCTAGAGATCTGCTAACCACCTTATCGCTGGGTCAACTTCATCCGAGTGCGACATGACTGCACGGAGATCAGAAGAGCGCCCGACTTCCGCATCATCTCGAGGCTTTCAAATGTCATCGCCAGCCAACGCAGCAAGTGGGTGCGCATTTTAAGTTTGTGGGCCACAACTGACACGGCGGGTTCAAGCCCGCCAACGGCGTCAGCTCAAGGCGCCCGGTCGAGGCCGGCCCGTTGTGAACTGTGGCCCACATACTCGCCCCTGGTGCAGAATGCAAGACAGGTAAGCTCGGCGCACCGGTGCAGGACAAGATGACGTCAGACTGTTAGAAGAGAGACACTGCTCTTGACAACGTTAACTATCGCATCGACAGAACTCCGCCATTCCAATCTGCCCCCCCCCCCCCCCCCCCCCGGCACCGCAGCTCCCAATAACACCACCGTTTCACTGTCTCGTTCACGAAACCACGACACACAACACTCTGACAAGTCCAAACTAAGGTGACTGTCCTCCGGCCGCCACTCCCGCCGCGCCGCCACTTCTGCCCCTCCCCCCCCCCCCCCCACGCGCCGGCACGCGCCGCCACTCACGTCGATCTTGAGTCCGTCCTCGAAGTCGATGGGCTCCGACGCCACGTTGGGAAACTCGCCCACGGTGGTGCGCAGCGCCACCAGACAGCGGCCGCGGTACGCGCAGCCCTCGCCCTCGCCTGTCGACACCGGCGCCGCCGTACAGCGCACCGCGGACGCACGGGGTGGGCGGTCTCTGTGTGCAGACGCTCGTCTGGCGCCGGTGTGGGCGCATGCACTGCATGCTGCATCGCTTGGTACATGCGCACCAGCTATGGGACACTGTGGTACAGGATCTTTGGGGAACGACGGTGCAGGATCTGTGGGACACTGTGGCACAGGACCTAATGGACCCTAATGGTGCACTTTGATAGAGAATCTATGGGACACTATGGTACAGGATTTTGAGACACTTCGGCACAGGATCTATGGGTCACTATGGTACGGGATCTGTGGGACACTAGGATACATGACCTAGGGGGCCCTAATGGTACAGGACCTATGGTACACTATGACACAGGATCTATGAGACACTATGGTACAGGATGCGTGGGATACTATGGTACACGATTTATGGGCACTACGGTGCAAGATCTATGAGACACTACGGTCAACATCTATGGTAAATGTGCACGAGCTATGGACACGAGCACGGGCAAGACACACGAATTCCTTCACTCAGTATGATAGCAAGCCGCATTGTTCGACATGGTAACTCCAAATGCAAGGTGAAGTGCGTTACAGTTCATTACCAAATCCGAACTTCTGTACCATGGCGATCCTCTTCACGGTTGTCGAGTATTCACTCAGACAGTGAGCGCACGGAAACAACCAATCGGCTATGCCAAACTCACACCAGTGGTATGTGGCGGGGGGGGGGGGGGGGGCGACTTGAGACCTGACGCTTGTCAAACGGCACAGTGCTCCAGCGCATGCTCAGATCCCTTCTCAGCCCCGCCCCCCCCCCCTTACCTCTCCCACTCCTGTCAAGGGCCAAGCCCAATGTCCTCCAGCCGATCCCCGGTCCCGGCTCCCGATCCCGGTCCCTGGTCCCCGGTCCTGGTTCCGGTCCCGGTTCCAGTTCCGGTCCCCGGTCCCGGTCCCGGTCCCGGTCCCGGCTCCGGTCCCTGGTCCTTCGTCCCTGGTGCCTGGTCCCCGGTCCCGTCCCTGCCGCCTTCTCACCCTCGTCGAGCGTCTCCTGGTCGTCCTTGCCGAAGATGCTGAACTCGCGCGTGCTGCCGTAGAAGTTGACGAAGCAGGGGCCGAACGTGGGCAGGAAGCCGTCCTCGCCGGCCACGCTGATCGACGGCAGCGGGATGAACGTCGTGCCGATCAGGTCACTGTCTGACACTCGGTCCCTGGCGGAGGTCACAGAGGTCACGGGCTGACCTCCGACCGCTGAAGAGGCGGCAGGGGTCACTGTCCGACACCCGGTCCCTGACGGAGGTCACAGAGGTCACTGGCCAACCCACGACCGCTGAAGTTCCTGCTCGAAACCCGGCCCTTGGTGGAGGTCACAGAGGTCACTGGCTGACCTACGACCGTTGAAGAGGCCGCAGAGGTCAGTGTCCGATACCCGGTCACTGGTGGAGGTCACAGAGATTACGAGCTAACCTCCACCTCTGGGGAGGCCGCGGGAGTCACTGTTTGACACTCGGTCCCCGGTGAAGGTCACAGAGGTCACTGGCCGACCTCCGACCGCTGAAGAGGCCGCAGGGGTCACTGTCCCACACCCGGACCTTGGCGAAGGTCACATACGTCACAGGCTGATTTCCGACCACTAGAGCCCGCAGGGGTCGCCTCCCGACACCCAGGCCCTGGCGGAGACACCGCGCCAGACGACTCCTGGTTGGGAAGCGCGCTCAGCCTCCAGTTCAGAAAGTCTCACCAGTCCTTCAGCAAGAGCTTCAGCTTGTTGGCGAAGGCAGGGAACTGGAAGCCCAGGTGCAGGCGCTGCTTGAAGTCCGGATGGTCCGTGCTGTACACGACCTGTAACACGGCAATTGCAGCACTGCAACCGGCGGCACTGCCACCCTGGTCCCAGCGTCATACACCTCAGGTTTGACATCACTCCTGGCAGACGTTTTGCGCATCGAAGACGAGCCGTAGCAGTCGACACGGCCGACGTCAGGCGAAACCTCACGGCGCAACGTCTGAGGGACCGCACAAACCAGCCGAGGACCCGCTGTCCTTCTGAGACTGACTGGGAAATGGCCCGACATGGATAGGGTCTCTGCTCTGACGCAGATAGCAGCGTGCATGGGTCCTTCCGAACTGGCAGGTAGGCCGGCATAGCTAGTGTAACATGCGGTGAGCTAAGGAACTAGTTTATACTGATTTTGACAAACCGTCCTCAAAAAGGCAACAGGCAGCCTGGAATAAATGCACAAACGTGAATCCTAAAGAAAAACTTGTTCTCGCTCGTAAGGGACAAAATGAAAATCTCAGCGCACAGGTACGCCACTCAGCGCATCCATCTGTCCTGGGATACTAATGACCGCGACAACGGAGATCAAAGACTTTAAAATTGCCAGGTAGTCATCCACTGCTATCGCCACGGCACATGCGCGGTATAGTGACGCCGCGCACGCTCAAGCCGGGAACAGTTACATCGGAATACAACCTGCGCGAAAAGCATGCCGACTCATAACCGTTGCTTGGCAACTTGGCTGGCACCGTGGCAGTTTCTTGTGGCGTCAATGACGTCGTTTTGTGCCCTCCTTGCACGAGCAACCAACACATGTATTTGGTAGCGACGCCTCAGGCTTGAGGCGGAGGCGATAGATATATCAGATGGAGATGATACGTCTGATGTCATCGGCAAGAAGCCCACTCCCCGTGTCTCACCGGCGTCTGCACTTCCTTCCCGGCGAAGCAGAAGACGAAGTAGGGATCGACCAGCTGCTTGCTGGATACGCTACCAAAACCCAGCACTTTCTTGACCGTACTCAGCGCTCCGGTGTCCACTATAGCAAAAGGCCGGGGGTGAGCAGGCGGAAATGGCACCATTTCTGAACGAAATATACACAAGCACAACACTTTCGACCAACAGTCGCCATTGAAACCCGGAGCCAGCTTAGAAAGACAACACCAATTTCCCGCGAAAGGAGAAATACCAACACGACAGAAAAGGCAGCCCGCTGATATAAACGACCTTGTTTTTTAAGACCCATGTAGTTGCCAGACATTTCCATTCTAGCGACCGCACCAGTGTCAACTCGACATACCACCTGGGATCAAAACTAGTACACACTTTAACTACGGGGAAGAAGCACGTCGAAGGTAGTACACACAGTGACACAGTGCACTATCATAGCATCCACCAGACAACGCGCAATGGGTGCGATTAAAAAGTCCGCGCGCTCCGCGTTCTGGACGAATGTCCTCAGCGTTCTCACGTTTATGATGCTTGACACGCATACATCCCTCCTTAATCTTCCTGTCTGCGCCCCTACCCCTCCCCCTCCTCGTCCTGCTGGCGGCGCCTCTGGCCGGCTCGTGACTCACTCCGCGGCAGGTCCTCCGCTTGGTAGACGCTCAGGTGGAAGCCGGCCGGCGCCAGCCTCAGACCGGCCGGGAACAGCAGGTTCTGCTCCACGTCCTCCTGCTCGGCGTTCCCCGGAGGCTTCAGGTTCGGACACTCATCGTTCGGTCCCATGATGGCGATGCTGACCTTCAGGTAGCCTGGCGACGGTCGAGCGAGGCGTCAGGAACAGCGGCACTTCACGTGGTTCTGCTCGACATATACTAACCACTATGCGTCTGGGAACGCTGAGATACGCGGTTTAACTCCCCGCAGCGTGCTGTGCTGTGCTGTGCTGTGCTGTGCTGTGCTGTGCTGTGCTGTGCTGTGCTGTGCTGTGCTGTGCTGTGCTGCCACGTGCTGATCTGGTCTAGTCTGGTCTGATGAAGCGGAACTACGAACTTACGCATTTCTCCATTGTGTCCCACAAACTTATAAAGAGGGAAGAAGCCGATTCGGCTCGCGTTTCCAACCCGACTTAATTGCTTATTAGGACGTGTTGGTAAGAATAAGTTGCTTTTGGGCTGTGAGGCAGCTCGATGCACCTCTAAAAAGTCCGTGGATTACGACCACAGAGCGTAGATTGGCACTTTAATTTCATGAAACTGGTTCATGCGGCTACCACATCCCAGCGTGTCTGTTCCGAAAATGCATGGTCTGACCCCGCGCGATCCCCCCCCCCCCACATCAAGGTCAGGTGAATGGCACGGACGTGAACGTTCAGCCAGGAGTGGTCACCACCGCCCACCGAGTTCCATCTGCGACCGTTTCAAGTCAATGAGTCTTCTTCAGATCAAAACTCGTGCGCCCGCACGGCCGCCCTCAGATCAAAACTTGTGCACCCACACGGCTCGGCATGGGAGCCTATTGTCCAAACTGTTGTCGGATTTCCTCCCGACTGCGGGAAAACGGGGCGGGGCTGTGTCGGCAGCCACGCCTTAGTTTACGACAATATGAGGCGGCAACTAAGGCTGGTCCTTGTGTCTCAACCGTCTTGGACCGTTGGTGTCCGAGCAATCGTGTCCGAACTGTCCGTTCACGGTGTCCGAAGTGATCGTTGGTGTCCGAGCAATCGTGTCCGAACTGTCCGTTCACGGTGTCCGAAGTGACCGTTGGTGTCCGGGCAATCGCGTCCGAAGTGTCCGCTCACGGTGTCCGAAGTGACTATTCGTGCCCGGGAAATCGTGTCCGATGTGAGGAAGCTACGCCTTCAAGTCGGGTTTCCAAACAAAGAGTGTCAGGCCCTTGTGCAGCGGCTGTCTGTGAGGAATTTGCATTGGACTGAACCAAACGCAAGATTACACACTCAGCCCAGACTGCATTTCATACTCATCGTCAAATTAATCACGTGCCATGATTTCGTTAGCGACCCACCACTCCAGGTTTCGTCGCCTTCAACTATTCCCCCCAGCCGATTCGCTATTGCGTTATGACACACACAGAACCGCCGGCCCAGCCTGTCCACATGTCGCTCTACACATCAGACCATCCTCCTCGCTCCTTCAGGGCCTGATCAAACAAAGTCAGCTTGGCTGGCGGTCATCTCATGACTTCATCAGCAACACACTCATTACTCCGTCAGACGCTCACGAACGACCCAAGGCACACGTCATACATGACTCCATCAGAACGTTGTTCGTGACTCTCGGCGACTCTTCAGCAACTCCTTTATTAGCTTTCGAAACAGGACTCCCACGGAGACTTGCTCCTGACATAATCGCTGAGTCACCCGTGCCTCCATCTGTGATTCCACCCAGACTCCATCGGCGACTCAACAGGGCTCGATCGGTGGCTGAACATGACTCCATCGGAAACATCACATGACTCCGTTGGCGACTATCCAGGACTCCGCCGGTGACCTATCGTGACTCCTCCGATGACTCCCCTTGGCTCCGCCAGCAACTCACCCATGACTCCGCCGGCATCCTCGTCGAGTGCGGTGAGCGCCAGCCACTTGTTGACGAAGGCGTGCAGCGGCTGGTCATACACGGTGCCCAGGTCCAGCTTGAACACGCCCAGCACCACCTTGGAGCGCAGCATACGAGAGTTGCACACCTGGCGGGGAGCACGGTCACCCGGTCAGCCGGTCAGCCGGTCACCTGGACACCTGGACACCCGGCCACCCGGCCACCTGGTCACCTGGACACCTTATTTCCGGTCACCTAGTCACCACGTCGCCTGGTCACCTAGTCGCCGCTCACCTGGTCGCCTTGTTACTGCTCACCTGGTCACCTAACCACTTGGTCACCGCTCGACGGTCACCTGGTCCCCCGGTTAGCGGTGAACCGGTGACGCAGCGATCCGGTAACGCGGTTGCCCGGTCCCCCGGTCCCCCCGGTCACCCAGTCGCCGGCCGACCAAGAGACGGCATCCGTATGGGTCAGTCCTGTGGTCAGTCCGAGGCAGCACGCTCGGAAACCGTCGCGAGCAGCGAAATCACTTCAGACCTGGCGTGATGGTGATGATGGCGCAGGCCCGTGAAAATTAGATGGCGTACAGTAGCAGTCCATCGAAGCTGACCACCTCTCCCTTCAACCCTGCATGGTGTCCTGCTGCGTGGCTGATGCTATCCCGCGGGTTTGCGTACATTATCGGTACGTTAGCGTCAACCACTCGGGACGGCGCAAAACGAAACGTTGACCAAAACCCTCAGCATTATTTTGCCGGCGAACTGGGCTGAAAATACTTCCATTCCAAACATTTGCGTGACAATGTCAATCTGTAAGCACCACGGTGGGCTTCGACAAGTAGACTCTCTGGGCCCAATAACTAAATGCACTGATGAATTGCAATGTGTTATAACAGTTATGACCGTATGAGTTCCATGCGTCAGGAAATCAAAGCACAAAGCTACTTCTTTGGGGGAATTAAATTATACAGTTCTCCTAGACTTCGGCGAGGCAACGGGCATCAAACCATCCTGTCATGACAAAAACTGGCTGAGCATATAGGGCCCAACCAGCCAGGGGCAGCCAGCCCCCATCACTCACAGGCAATTCATAACCAACGCTAAAAAAAACACCATTTCAACATATTTTTCCGGCTCACCCCGTCAGCCTCGGCTGGGTCTCGAGCAACGTCTGGCGTGATCTGACCCAGCTAAGCGTGACCTCTGACATTAAACAAACAGATCCTGCACACACGGAAACCGTCCTGACCGCGCAGATTACGCCGTTAAAGGCCAGCAATCATTACGCCGTTAAAGGTCAGCAATCTGAAGAATCAACAGCAGCCCGACAAGCACGATACCAACATCCGGCTGGAGTCCGGCAGTGACCTGCTACATCTGAGACCAGGGCCGCGCAAGGAAACACGACACTAATCCTCACAGGTAAACACAGGCATCATTCCAAACGATCCGCTCCCGACGTGGCACTTACACATGACGAGCCATTTATCATTAAAATGCAGCCGCTATTAAAAACACATCAATAACCAGCGGACTCAGCACATAAGGCTCGGACCCAAACAATGCACAGCACTATGCGGAGTCTTAACAGTGCCCACCCGCCCCACAGAGGACGCTGCTAAGGCGTGCCCGTGGGCCATCGGGCCCACGAGCACGCGCCGTACGACCATGCTCCTCTTGACCTCCCACATCACCAGCGCTCACCCTGAACTCCACCGGCGTGTCCCACACCTCCGACGGCAACTTCTTCATGTAGAAGAAGAAGATCTCGTCGTACCAGGGGTTGCAGGTGGCCTTCTGGACGCGCGTCGATTTGCCGTCGTTTCCCAGCGATACGCGGCAGGTGGGGTTCAGGTCGGAGCCGATCAGACCGCGCCCCTCCACCACCTTCACACGCACCTGTCGAGGGGAGGGGGGAGGGGGGCGGAACAGTCGGCTTCACACACGGTCCTCGGGACAAGGCCATTCGTGGTCACAAAATGGCCACCACGGACGCGATTCTCGCACCACATAACACGTAAACCAAACATGAGCAGCGGGCTACATCTTTAATGGCTGCAAGGAACATCAGACAAACATGACCACATCACCAAACGTTTCATGTTGGTTTCACTTGTGAAGCTACATGCTCACACACTTCCTTGCGGCGGACACGACTGGCAAGTTTATATTCCAGTATAACATGTATATCCCAATATCCCAGTATACATGCGCATTTTAGTACACAATGGATTACATTAAATTCCGGTACAGGTACGCATATTTCGGCCTTCCAGCCAGAGACTCCAGCTTTTATATACTTGTATCTCAAACGTCATACATGCCCCAGAAAGACACTAATCTGACATGCATATCTTAGCTCACTACAGCCCACTGCTTCAAACAGCCGCCACGCTGAGTCGAGCCTTCGCACTAGCGTACGCGTTCGCGTTCGCCTTCGCGTTCGTGCGCGCGCTCGCGTTCGCGTTCGCGCGCACCATACCTGGAACTTGGTTTCCTTGTTGGGAAGCAGGTCCCGGTACCTGGGCCCCGCCCCGAGGTGTTCCAACGCGGCGCTGTACTCGGCGCCTTGGCCCATGACAATGTCACCGCTAGATGTCGTCTGGATCGCCTCGTAACTCCCCACCGCTGCCGAGCCGAGTCACAAGTTACCAAAGTCGCCAACAAGTGGAGACAGAGTCGGTGATCGCTTTCTGTGCGCTTGTAGTTTCGGGACATTTATTTTCAATGTTTTGTTTTGTCAATGATTGCAAATTTCGCATAATCATCCATAAAGGCAACACAAACTCCATGTAGGCAACAAAAACGGGGCTTGTGTGGCGAATTACTTACATGCTACAGCCCATCTTTATGAGTGTGACTACCGGCCAGGTCTTCTACGGCCTGGACTGGGGACTCAAAAGTAAACCTGATCGCGGCGCGTTGCTATTTTCAAGACGCTTTAACGGAGGACAAAGCACACGGACACGCATGCTTTGTCACGTATGCACGCATACTCATCCGTAGGCTCCCTCGAAGAAGCTGTTACGTTCAACACCCGATTCTAGACTCCAACCCTTTCAAGATTCTAGCACTGGATTCTCCCACGCCGAATGTCACGACCGGAAACCGGAATTTACCAGCAGCAATCCTTCTCCAGTACATCTACGGAGTTCAAGTACACAGCAAATACGTTGGCGCACGGCAAACACGGCAAAGAACAGAGTTGACACACGGCAAAAAGCTTTGAGCGGCATCGGAACTCCAGGGGCGGTGGTGGCCGCCGCCACACAGGCCGCGCCCGTGTTTGCAGTATCCACAGCCCGGTTCCGGGGGTGGCTGTTTCACCGTCATGTTTATTGTGACACCCGCAGGTCCCAAGGCAACGCCGGTGACTGGCGGATGGGCCAGAAACGGGCCGCGTCACAGACGTCACACACGTTCCCCCTCGTCACACAGCCATCCCAGCCATACGCGTTCTCACTCGTCAAGACGCCCTTCCTCTCGTCACATAGCCATCCCAGCCATAGGCGTGATCTTTTGCCGTGGTGCCCTCCCTCTCGTCACATAGCCATCCCTGCCATAGGCGTGATCGCTTGCCAGGGCGCCCTCCCCCTGGAGTGCAGAGTGGCTTTAGTTTCGTCTTCAGCATGGCTCCCGCCAGTAGTCCCTTGACAATAGTTCGTCGCCTGGCTGCTGTCCTGAACTGGCTCTTTCCATCAGCCTCTAGGTTCCCTTCTGGCTGTAAACATATATTTTAGCATACGTAGCTTCGCGTCGCTAACTCCCATCATCTTCCGTATCTTCCCACGAGTCCAAGCGCTTTCTTGCCTTCCCCTTCTCCGCGTTCCATAAAACGACTTTTCTACATATTCCTCCAGCGGCCGAACCCACCCCCCCAGCTGGCGCTGTTGGCGTTGCTCGCACCTTCTGCGTGTCCCCGTTCCATTTTCACCTCGAGTTTATCTCCTAGTATCTCGACCATCCCTCCCCGGTCTGTCTCAAACCCCTCACATTGTATCGCATCACATTCCCGCACCATCCCCGCGAATTCCTCCCATCCCGTACCTTCCACCTCACCACCTCACCCTCCACCCTCACCTCTCAACCCCACACCCTCCCACCTAACTCACCCCCCCCCCCCTCCCACCCCTCACCTCTCGTGCCACCAGCCACGTTGGTCCCCGACTTGCTGCCGGCCGCGCCGGCGGCTGGGCCAGCCGCCGGCGCCGCCACCTTGGGCGGCGTGTACTCCATGCGCACGCGCAGCATGCCCGTAGTGGGGCGCTGGTCGTGATCCACCAGCTGCAGCTCCAGGTCCTGCGGGCCTTGGCCGCTCATGAGGTTGCGCAGCAGGATCGTAGTCTTGCCCAGCAGTCCTGCCGGCCGAGCCGCGGCGGCGGGTCAGGCGAGCGGCAGGTCACGTCAGAGGTCGACAGATCAGGTCAAAAGTAGACAGGTCAGGTCAAAGACCGTGAGGTCAGGTCAGAACTCGACAGGTCGGGTCAGAGGTCGCCATGTCAGGCCAGAGGTGGACAGGTCAGGTCAGAGGTCGACAGGTCAGGTCAGAGGTCGACAGGTCGTGTTGGGGATTCACGCCGCCGTACAGGACCAGGAATGGTGGGATGTCATGTAATGGTAAGAGGCTAGATAATTGTGAGAGGTCATGTAATAGTCAGAGGAATGGCAAGCGGTCAGGTATCCGTGGGAGTAACGGATGCTGACAGAGCACACTGACACAAGCGGTTGTCCGTGGTCAATGTAATGAAACTGAATGCAGTTAAAACGGAATGTAACATACTATAAACGCAATGGTGAAAAGCCAGAGGCGTAGATAGCCTATTGACAAGCACAATAACTTTGTTCACAATTCGCACTTGCAAACACTGCTAGGCCATAGCAACCGCAGCCCTGTGGGCCTGTCGGGTTGAAAATGATGAAAATGAAAATCTGCGGCCAGGCCACGCCGTCTGCTGCCGGTCGGTGTGCCGCGATCGTCGCGGACGACTCGCCAAGGGGACGCCAGCTGGGCGCTCAACGCCGATGTTAGTATATACTACAGAAGTATATACTATATATACAATAGAAGTACGTGGCGAATAACAATTGTCAGCCCTCGTTATGCTGGGGAATACTGGTGAACGTGTTGTTTCAACTAATATTTAAACATTTATACTAGCATTATATCAAAATGACTTGAATTTTCGATCAGAATGATTTCTGGTAACCGCGTACCTACGGCAATATCATCGACATTACCAACGCACAAACATCACGCAACCCGAACTCGCGCCTACCACCTTGGAAACATCCGTCACAGCCGACGTGACCTTCCAGCCCCACGCCCGCGGCAGCAGCAGTCGCACCTGTTGCGGCCGATATGGTCGTAGTCCTTCACCAGCATCTCCAGCTTCTCCTCCGCCGACGGCGCCTTGCCGGTGAGCTCCCATTCCAGCTTCTCGTTCCACTCCGGGTTCAGCTCTCCCTTCTTCACCGTCGTCTTCCGCTTGACGCCTGACGCACGGAAGGGGGCGGAGGTCAGTGACATGTCCATGGATATGTCGTGGGAGGAACGCGACAGCGAACGGGATCAGGCGCGTGACGCGTGATCTGGGAATTTCGGGGGCTGCAAAATGATGACTACGCCATGTACTGCGCACATGTACGTAGTACATTTTACGCCACGCACCATGCATAAAATGTGTCACGTCAGTGTATGTACGGGCGCTTCGCATCAAGTTCCGACGCAGGTCTGAGGATTCGGCACAGACAGACGTTTGAGTTCGGATATTGTCTGGCGTCGGGATCTTCAGCCTGCATCGACTTCATCAGGGCCCACAAACTGCGTCCAAGATAGGTCGGAGGGCTCCACGGCTATTAACAGTGATCTTTGAGCACAAAGAGCTTCCAGCGATTATCTCTGAAAGGAGACATCAGAAATCTATGATCGAAAAAGAGGCGATCAGTAATGATATCTGATCGAGAAGAGCTTTCAATCATGATCTCTGAACAACAAAAGAGCCACCAGTAATTATCTCTGATCAAAAAGAGGTCTCAGTAATGATTCCCGAACAAAAAAACTATCAGTAAAGATCTCTGGTCAAGAACAGCTGTAAGTAATGATATTTGACCGAAAAGAGGAATCAGCTATAATCAATGGCCGAAAAAGATCTATCAGCAGTGATATGCATCAAAAGAGAGCATCAGTAATGATCCCTGATCGAAAAAGAGCTATCGGCAGCGATCTTTACTCGAAAAACGAGCTCATAGTGCGTTTGGCATGCCTTCCTCGTGCGAAAGATCGGTCCTCGCCTCTGGCGACTATGACCACCACTCTTCTCGAGCCCCACTCCGTGCTCCATTTGGCCCGGCAGCCGGTGATCGTATTAACACAACAAACACTAGGAACGACGCCACCTAAGTGCCATCAGGTGCCATCGACGACGATTGATCTCGGTTGCGCTGAAAACTCTCCAATCTGTCTGCCATGCCAGTGGCATGGCCTCGACCAATGCTGCACGAAGAATGCTCGAACAAGCTACGCCCTTGACATCTCTGGAGGGTTTAGCCATAAACCCTAAACTCTCGACCACTGCAGCAAATAATCCCTTACGCCTGCAAACCGTAGATGCTCCGCGGAAGGGCACCTGCGGCCCGTTGCTTCGCCCCATGCGTCCACCCCTGCATTCACATACAGCTCGGCAACGACTCGCGCCCGCCAGTGCAGTGCAAAGCCTCCCCCCCCCCCCCCCGCCAGCACAGCCATGGCCCCAGAATCAAAACACAGCTCGCCCCAGCGAGAGCGCCGGGCTATTGTGTTGCCGTCGCATTCCGGCCACGTCGTCAGCTGGCCAGACCGTGGCCAGCCGTCCTGCGCGGCGGGCGGGGGATGGGGGCAGGCAGGGGCGGTCAGTGACCGGGGGCAGGGCCAGGGGCGGTCAGTGACCGGGGCAGGTCCAGGGGCGGTTAAGGACCGCGGGGGGCAAGGCCAGGGGTGGTCAGCGACCCGCAGGGAGGGTTAGGAGGGTGCAGTCAGTGCCGGGGGAGGGGCCAGGGGCCGTCAAGGACCGGGGGGTAGGGGCCTGGAGCGGGGTCGAGGACCGGGAGGGGGGCAGGGTCGGGGCCGTCAAGAACGCGACCGGCGGGGGGCATAGGGCCGGGGAGCGGTTTGAGACAGGGGGCTCCGACAATGGCAGCCGTACAAGGCCATTACAATCGGGACACGCTGTGTTTCGCAGTCAGGTCGTCTCTCATCTGTACGTGTCCCGAATCGGGCGACGTCAGCAAACCAACGCCGTAATCTATCACGGCCTGAACCGACCTAGCTGACCAGGCAGGAAAAGAGTCCAGGTCATCACGAGATGACTCACGCCAAACAATTATACACAACAGTTATACACAATACCAACAGTTATACACAATAAGCTCACGGACCCAGATTAATCTAATCCTAGCGCGAGCGACTTTCATTTCGCGCAACAGGGGGTGGAAGAAGGATCTCTCTTCACTGGATTCCAATGGGGCAAATCGCGAAAAGCAAAGTTCTTGGTGCTAGACAGGCACAACTGCATCCGTTTCACTTCCGGTTCTGCGAAATGCAGGACCTTACGACACTGAGGGAGTTGGAGTTTGCCTGATCGAGATCGCTCACAGGATTTCTAACGTGAATATGAACGCAAATCACGGGGGAAAGAGGTTATCTCTTACGCCACTTCACACGAACACTACCAATATTACGGCGGCCATCCTGCTGTCCCTCCCTCAACACTTCAGCCGTTCTGGCCGGCGTCGAAACTACCCTGACACGCGACAACCAAAACTAATGCTGACGCCGAAACTAACCCTGGCACCTGACCCCAAAAATGTCCTGCCACTTGACACCGAAACTACCCGGACATCTGACAACCGGAACTACCCCGACATCTGACATCGAAACTACCCCGACACCTGACAACCAAAGCCACCCTGAAACCTGACACTAAAACTGCCCTGACACCTGACACTGAAACTACCCTGAAAACCTACACCGAAACTACCTGAAACCTGACATTGAAACTACCCTGACACCTGACACCAAAACTACCCTGACAAAACCAAAAACCACCTTAACACCTGACACAACAAGCGCATGATCGACACCGGCACCACTGCCGCCACTCACCTTGGAACACTGTCGTGACATAGGGGTCACTCTTCCCCACGCTCTCGGCGTTGGGGAGGTTGGACGCGCTAAGCACGTGCGCTCGAAGCATGGTGACGTCACTAGTCCGGACTGCAACACACGGATAAATGCGTCACACAGTCCTGTCGGGGACCTGCGACAACAATGCAGAGCCATGGGATCGGGATAACCTGGGACTGCATGTGGCGACAAAGGGTGTATTCGCAGCGCACAAAGAATGTCGCATTATTCGTGACGACACGTAGAATCTTTGCCGGTCGTGTTCGCAGCGCGACACGATTTCTGTTTACATCTTCGTAACTTTCGTGACAGTGACTGGACATGCGAGATACTAGCATTTACGTTCGCACATGCTCTGCGTGCTCCTAACACTGGAAACTGCAGATTATGCTGTTTGGAACTAATAAAACATGTTCCTATCAGCCGAGATAGGCCCTGTGCGCGCAAGTGGGCTGTTTTTTAATTGAATCAGTTGTGCTTGTAGGTGTAGCAAATATTCTACGTGACGTCAATTAGAATCTACCGTCCGGGTCGCCGCGAACACCAAAATGCGCAGAACCTACGGGGTATGACGCCATGAATGACGTCGACGGTATAACATCTTAGCCACCTAGGTCCTGTGAATACACCCAAGATCTCCGCGGATTTCGGTCCGTTTCCACGTTCGGCAGCGACCCATCGCACTCCACGACACAATCAACCGCTAACGCCTGCATGCGGCGCCGCAGGCTTTTCTTCAAAGGACGGCACGATTGCTAAGCCTGCTGATGCGAGCGCAGGTGGGGAGCGTCGACAACAGGTGGCGCGGGAAAGTCGCTAGAAACGAAGCCTTCTCGAAAGTTTTCACAGGAATCGCACAGGTCTGGTCACCGGCCTGTCGTATGACACCGTCACTTCACTGTCGTACGACACCGTCACCATATGACACAGTCACAATATCCATCATCTATCAACTAAAAATGGGTGTCGCCGGTGATACGCCCGGCATGTATCAATCCCACCCGCGTTTATGAGCGGCGATGACACTGGACGTTCACAGGCAACGGACGGGGTCCGATTGGGCCGCGTCAAAATCAAGGCACCACTTCAACGAACCAGAGACGTGCCACGAACGTGCCAACTCGTGCGAAGACGTGCCAACTCCAACGTGCCAACAAACTGGAAACCAGTTCAACGTGACCGTGGCAGCCAGGGTGAGATACCAACGGAGGTATCTCAAGTGATCGCAGATAGTTCAAACAGGCGCATAAGCGGTTTCGCTTGTCATCAGGACTTAACGACGCACTCAGCTGCTGAGGCTAATACCGCGACGCCTGCTTCTCACTCCGACAGAAAGGGCCGACACCACGTGGAATCGAAACCCGGACCTCTGGTATCCCAGACACGCAAGCCTAGCCACGTCGATACCGGCACCCCGATAAAAGCGGTTTCGGTCTCATGTGATTTCAACGCGGACACGGCCTTGCGGTATTTACCTGCCACTCTCACAAGACCGATACTTACATGAAAGCTCGGCGCAAGAACCTCAGGCGATCCACTGGCATATTGACCCTCAAAGAAGTTCACCCCTCTCCCGCCGGTATTGATGTTCCCCGCGTCCACTAGGCTGGGCGTCGCGACTTGTCACACAGCCGCGTTTTTGTTGTTATTTGGGCTTAAGGGCGTCGCCGACATCCTTGTCACATCACGTGCTGTCGAATAGTCCTTTCGCTGCATGGGACAACCATGAGTGTTACTGTGTCACGTGATAACGTAATGACCCTATTCTGTACCACGTGGTAACCATGCCGGTTCCGCCGCAGTGTGTGTTGACGTCACGGGTTCCGCAGCACCGCGCGATGACGTCACAGGTCCCAATACAACCGTGTGATGACGTCACCAGGTCCCGATGCACCGTTGATGACGTCACAGGTCCCACTGCACCGTGCGACGACGTCATAGGCCCCGCTGCACCGTGCGATGACGTCACAGGTCCCACTGGCAACCGTGTGGTGACCGTCATAGGCCCCCGCTGCAAGGTGCGATGACGTCACAGGTCCCACTGCAACCGTGTGATGACGTCATGGGTCCCGCAGCATGGGCCAGCGGCCCGGTCACGAGCCGGCGCGCCGGGAAGCATTGTCTGCCGCCCCACCGCGTGGCCACCAGCCGCCCCCGCCGCCGCGTCCGCGCGGGTGTGCAAGACCATGACCCCGCGAGTCCGCACCAGCCCGCCGGTGGAGGTGCAAACTCCGGGCCCACGCGGCCCACACAACCAAACAACTGACGGTAGCAGTGTGCTGACCGACGGTAGCAGTGTTCTGACTGACGGTAGCAGTGTCCTGACCGACGGTACCAGTGTGCTGATCGACGGCAGCAGTGTCCTGACCGGACGGCAGCAGTGTCCTGACCGACGGCGGAAGTGTGCTGATCGACGGCAGCAGTATCCTAGACGACGGCAGCATTGTCCTGACCGACGGTAGCAGTGTCCTAGCCGATGGTGGCAGTGTCCTGACTGACGGTAGCAGTGCCTTGACCGACGGCACGTAGCGAGGGTAGCAGCAGATAAGGCCAGGTCGCTCATGTCAGCCTTTCTGACGGAGCAAATAACTTAGAATGGAAGGTTTTAAAAGCATTGCAGACGTTAGGGTTATTCCTATAACGAAGACGGAACCAACTGTTTCAGCATTTCGCAGCACTTCTTAGGGCCAAGTGTTTCAAAACAGTTAAGATCCAACAGTGTGAACGTAATACCACGGAACAGAATGCCATTCAGCGTTTGCGCTGCTATAGGTCTCTCTGCTTTCCCCAAATCTGATATTATCCAGCACAAGGGATCATTGCTCATACAATGCCTCCCGTATCAGGATATTGTGCAAAACATTACAGGGAAAGGACCGCAATCTAGGGAGACTGCAGGGAAATTTTCTGCACGGAAATTACAGCTGCGACTCTTCTTTCCCAGCTATACCATTCTCAGCAGCGAAAACGATGGATAGAAGCTACAAACTAGCACACTCAAACCGTTACTGTGCACAAAGCATTCACTACATCACGCCCCTGGAATAGGGTAGTGGACACTTGCACATTCCGAAAACAGCACATATGATGGACCCACAGGTTATGAAATGGCAAATCGAACACGAACACAGCAATTTAAGGCCATCCTAAACATCGACGCGAAATCCAAAACCGAGAAACGACACGGCTCTACAAAGCTGGAGTGAACTGGAGGGGGGGGGGGGGGGGGAGCGGCGGAGGGAGTAACGCAGATGAGGACGGGCTTCAGAACAATAAGGGGGGTCTACACACTCCTTGCCGCCCCGCCCGACAGAGGAAACAGACCATCACGAACAAACTTGCCGTACAACCACAGACGCAAGGGACACTGCATCAAGTCCTGCAAGGACACTGCATCACGTCACCACTGCATAAGACATCACGTCACCCTGCAACCCATTCGGCTCTAAAAATACACCAGCTTCAGAGAGAAAACCGTTATACATACACACAAAAGCCCACCCTTTGCTGTTTTCAACGTTACATACCAGGCAAACATCACCGAATAAACATTACAGTCTAACTCCACTCCGCCAATGACCGCGTTTGCTCGGCGCCCAATCAGCTCCAATGACCGCCGAAATGCGAGCCAGGTCCCACCAACGCCCCTTCCAACGCCCCACCAAACTTCCGGTTCGGTCCCGCCAGCAACCACCGCAGCGCCAGCTCCGTATCAGCGTTAATCGCGCCGTCCGTTCGCGCCTTCCGGCTGCGTCGTCTGCAGGTCAAGGTCAAACACACATACACCACACACACACCCTACGGGACGGCGCGGAGCTAACGGCAGACGCTGACCAAACCAACACCGGTCTGGCCACAGTCACCCCCACAGCGGCGGTGACGCCGGCAGAGGGGAGGGGGAGGAGTGTCGGACTCACGGGGTCTGCAGCGGTGTCATGCGACAGGCTAGCTGACCGGGTCTGTGACGGTGCCATACGACAGCTAGCTGATCGGGCTCTGTGACGGTGTCATACGACAAGTTAGCTGATCGAGCTCTGTGACGGTGTCATACGACAAGCTGGCTGATCGGGGTCTGTGACGGTGTCATAAGACAGGCTAGCTAATCGGGCTCTGTGACGGCGTCATACGACAAGCTGCTGATCGGGGTTTGTGACGGTGTCATAAGACAGGCTAGCTGATCGGGGTCTGTGACGGTGTATACGACAAGCTAGCTGATCGGGGTCTGTGACGTGTCATACGACAGACTAGCTGGCCGTGTCTGTGGCGGTGTCATACGACAGACTAGCTGACCGGGGTCTGTGACGGTGTCATACGACAGACTAGCTGATCGGGGTCTGTGACGGTGTTTAAGACAGGCTAGCTGACCGGGTATGTGACGGTGTCATACGACAAGCTAGCTGATCGGGGTCTGTGACGGTGTCATAAGACAGGCTACTGACCCCGGTCTGTGACGGTGTCATACGACAAGCTAGCTGACCGGTGTCTGTGACGGTGTCATACGACAGACTAGCTGTCGGTGTCTGTGACGGTGTCATACGACAGACTAGCTGACCGGTCTGTGACGGTGTCGTACGACAGACTAGCTGACCGGGGTCTGTGACGGTGTCATACGACAGAATAGCTGATCGGGTCTGTGACGGTGTCATAACAGGCTAGCTGACCGGGGTCTGTGACGGTGTCACGACAGACTAGCTGACCGGTGTCTGTGACGGTGTCATACGACAGACTAGCTGGCCGGTGTCTGTCGGTGTCATACGACAGACTAGCTGGCCGGTGTCTGTGACGGTGTCATACGACAGACTAGCTGACCGAGGTCCCCGACAGCGTCATACAAAAGTGCGGAGTACCGGGCTTGGGGCTGAAACCGGACCTATGCCGGTGCCGGAATGACGGCAGCTTATCACAAGACACGAAGTTGTCTTGGTAGCGTGCCGTGGGCCTGGCGAGAAGATCGCACGCCTCGACTGGCGAGATCGTCACAGGCACTCGTCAAAGCATGACGGGCGTAAGATGTGACCTGCGACTGAAACGCCTGACATTCAGGCCTTCAGGCTACACGCCGGCGAGGAACGCCTCGATATGTCCGCTGACGTCACCTGATTGTATACTTCCAACGCGGCGTGACGGTTGTTAACCTCATGTGTTTACAGTTACCACGCCCGCAATGCTTCCGTCCACATTTCTTGGGGCCGCCATGACGAAAGCCCAGAGAGCTATCTTGGCCCTATCGCCGCGGCCAGTCGCAGTGTGTGCGAGCGATAAGGAAAGCCGTCGTGAAGCGGACCAGCTACCAGTGGAGGAAAGCGGTCTTCGTCCGGAAAACTGTCTACCCGGACCCTTGCTCGTGGAGGACAACGCACGCAATGGTGTGTGCGCCAATATGTCGTCTTGGGACGACAATGATGGTGTTCTATTCGAATTCCATCGGTTCGATTTCACTGATGTTCTCGACTGCACGCATAATCTAAGCGCGTCCCACCGTACTTTTCCGTGATTGGACCTTGTCACAGACGAAGGTAAGGAGCACCTCGTGTGGTGTTTATCGCCTCACGGTCATTTTTTAAGTTAATTAAGTAAAATTAAGCCAAGGCTAAGTCCTCACCTGCGCGGGAGTATCAAGCCGGGCCACCGGGGGTCAGGGGTCACGTGGCCGGCGTGACGTCACCACGTCCCCACCCGCCGCCGTCTGCAGACCGGAGGCAAGCGTCAAGGGCGAGGGCAAGACACCAGTCCCGGTCCCACCACTTGGCTATTAGGAATTCCGATGGCGTATGACGGGCTGGTCCCGGCCCGCGCTGTCACAACATATATCGATGAAATCAAACACGCATCTCCGTGTGTTAGAGAGACGCGACGTCAAGCGATGCGGTGCGATGATATGTTGGAAGACGGCCCGCCACGCCCCCATCTCCCGGCTCATGAGGCTCATTTGCCACGTTTGGAGTACGTGGACGCTGTCTCACATGCGTCAGTCCTCCGCTTGATACGCCATGAGGCAGTGTTCAGTTGCGACACTTGGAACCGATGACTATCGAGAAACAAGCAGCGTTTATTCACGTCTGAGCGAGTCTAATTCCCACAACCAGCGCTCGCGTATCGGTTCGCGCAAACGTTGGCGTCGAGAAGAAGCGTACTTCTTCAGAGCGACTCGTGGTATCCGATTATTTCCTGGCCGCGACCGGGCGCTGACCAGTCCTTACAGGACGAAACCGGCATGAACTGCCTTCAACACAGTTAGAAACAACTTTCCTACTCGAGAGATCCATATACCATCTACCACGGCGTTGGCATTCCCATAAAAGTGGAAAGAGAACTTCACATAATGCCGGTACGCGAGACCAGTTCGAAGTCAGCTTTCTCTCCCCACACCACCCGGCTAAAGTCAGCCTGGAGACGGGAACATCCCTTCCTCTGCTGCGATGACAAACCTA